TTTCATATGCTTGAGTTGCGCTGCAGAGATCATGTTCTTGGTTTCGGGCAGCTCCGGGACGTGCAGAGTTATAAAGTCGGCCTCTCTCAGGAGGTCCTCTAGTTTGGGTACCTGTCGAGCCGTGCCCAGTGCCATCAAGTTCACGACATCGTAATAAATAACCGACATGCCCATGGCTTCCGCAAGGACGGACAGCTGCGAACCAATATGTCCATATCCGATGATTCCTTTAATGTAGTCAAGATTAGCTCTTAGTGTAGGTGCATTGGCGTATAGATGAGTCTAAATAGTATGATACATACCAAGAGTCTTGCCACGAATCTCCCAGCACTTGTTACTCACTTTGTTCCAGGTGCCCTTGTGCATCTCATTAGACCTATCGCCCAATTGGCGGGCCAGAGCTATAATCTCGGCAATGACGAGCTCGGCCACACTACGAGAATTTGCAAATGGCGAATTGAAGACGGCAATGCCGTGATGAGCAGCATACTCCAAGTCCACCTGGTTCGTACCGATGCAGAAACAGCCAATCACTAGGAGGTTCTTGGCCTCGCGAAGGACTTTCTCGCTTAACTTGGTTTTTGAGCGAATGCCAACAACATGAACATCCCTGGTAGTTTCTATTAGAGCCCTGCTACTTACTACTTTTCTTATACAATTTGAAGCAATAAAACTCACCGGATCTTCTCTATGAGCTGATCTTCAGGCAATGAGCTCTTATGGAATTCGACTTGGTAACCCTGACCAGTCAAGATATCTCTGCCGCTCTGATTGACGTTCTCAAGCAAGAGGATTTTAATATCTTGAGTATTAAAGGGCTTGAGTTGCTTCGGCTGAGCTCGCAGAGCAAATGCTCCGCTAAAGCTAGATAGCGGGGAGTGAAATGTGGCAGCTGACGGTGAGACCGACAGTTCCGACTCGGGAGCCCTGAAGATGTTCTGTGCTTGTGTCATGGTTTTGCAATTGTATTGTTTGAGAATATGGAACGTAAACGTGGGAAATAACGAGGAATGACTAGTTAGGTAAATATCGCTAGAAGCAGGTACGATTTGACTCTGATGAGTCAAAAAAAGGTTTGAGAATGATTATATGTTGTTAAAAGGTTAGAGCGTCGAGGATATGTACCACAATTTATGGCTTAGTGCATATGTGGTTAGCAAGCTGTAATACTAATATCCATGCGCATCAGCCTATCGCTTCACGTAATAAACCACGAGACCCAACTTTTTTTTTTCTTCATCGACTGTCATAAAATAATAGAAAAGTAAGATGGGCAGGATGGGTTAAAATCTAACTCCCGTAATTTATTAGATCCCGTCATCGGACGTCATTATAAAAACCCGGAGTCACGGGCACATTGTAGTATAGAGAATCTTGCCCCTATTGTCTTCTTCATGCCTTCTTCAAAGTGGTTAAGCCTTAATATAAGTTAAATCTGCTTCTAAAAACTGCCAGTTTGAATGATTTGTTTTACTTTATCCGTCACCAATGACCTCGGGAACGGTTTTAATATATCAATGGGACTTGTCCTTAAACTTAGAAAAACAACCAGTGGTAAGGATTAGGTAGGTACCTAGGTAGGCCCTCCGGAAATATTAATAAGGGGGCCGTTTATTTCACAAATTTGTGCGGGCAGTACGTGGAGTAACGATACAATACGCAAGGGGAGAGCAAATCAACTCCATGTGCAACATCCGATGTACATATATGCAAGACGCGAACTTCCGTCACCTTTCATATGATTCTCTGGCTGAATGCATTATTGACGAGCCAAGCAACTTGACCTTTTCCTCCCCTCGTGCCAGCCTGAAGTATACCTATTTAGGTCCACCTCCAATTGCCTCTGTTCGTAAAATGCGATCACCTTTCCGGCCAACCGACTACTCCAGACCAGCCTCATGCTGGAAGAAAACGAAGAGAACTACCAAGCAGTACAGAACGAGATTCCGAAAGCAGCCTAGAACCTAATGGGAGTGGCCAGTCTATTTTGCATATGATTTCACTACCATTTTCTGGGTGACCTCTGTAGAGCGTCGACAAATTCGCAATATTAAATCTGTCTTGGTCGATAGAACAATAGAAGGAATTGAGTTGGGAAGGATAAGATAGCCTCAATAGCCTTTACTACCTTCTCTCCTTTCCGACTAGGATCCGCGACGTGAATTAAGTAGAGAGTGTTAGAGGAAAGGGGCAAGATTTAGCTTTGCTTGCACTCTTGCGCCTCCTGCTTCGGCTTCGCACCGTCATCCTACATCAAATATTAGCCGAGTATTCCTATAATAATCTGTAAGGAATGGTGGACAAACATCGTCATCAGATTCTTCCTCCTCGTCATCGCGATCTTCGCTAAGGTCATCCTCATCATCATCCTCGTCGAACTCCTGGTCTTCAAGGTCGTCGAGTTCCTCAAAAGCCAGGGCCTCACCAGTAAACCAGTCGATAGCCCGAGGGATCAGCTTCTCCTTAATGTCCTCACCGAGTTGGTAGTCCAACTCTAAACGCTCCTCAATGTCCGAGGCAGCGTCGTTGTCATCATCGTCGGTGGGGGCCTTAGGGGGCGAGAAGAAGTTGAAGAACGACTCGGTGGGAACAGTCTTCTTGACGATACGAGTTTGCTTCGTGTCTGTCTAGGTTAGTGAATAGTATTAATATATTAGCTCTGTGGTGGCTTACTCTTGTTTCGCTGTTTCTTGCTCTCGATGCGGACAGTAAGATCGCGACCCTCTTTCCACTCGATCTTGTCACCCTCGGCATGGTCGTAGATGAAATCGCCACCATAGCCACTCTCGTTCTGGTAGAAATACGTCTTGGTGATAGTCTTGTTAGTGAAGAACTCGTTCTCGGCAAATTCGAAGATGAGGCGGAATCCCGGTTTGTCGAGATACTCCATCCGAATATCAGTCAGGTAGCGGAGGGCAGCCTCATCGCGGTCTGTGATCATCTCAGCAAGAGAAATCTGGTTCTTCATGGCGGATAGCCAGAATTCTGGGATTCCTTTAACGAGTTCAGCAGTCTCAGAAGTTGCCTTCTCTTCTCCCTTTTCGGCTTCAGCTTCGGCTTCGTCCTTTTCATCTTCCTCGTCTTCACCAGCCTTGACCTGTTCGTCAGTGGGCTCATCCTTGCCGTTGACGATGGCGGCACGCTTCTCGTAGAGAGGAGTGAACTTGGCGAAGTACTTCTTCTCCAGCTGGAGAACTTCTTCCTGGAACTCGGCCTCTAGCTTCGAGTGATCTTTCTGGATGCCCTTTAAGCCGGCAACACGACGACGAACGACGCTAGGAAGAGACTCTATGTAACCGGAAGATCGACCAACTAGGGAGCCAAGTCGGCCTTGAATCATCTGAACCAATTTAGGATTCTGGGCAAAGATAGAAGCGGCTGCAGCGCGATCGAGGTCCTCTGTAGCGCAGAGGAAGTTAGCAACGAGAGACCCGCGGAAGCAATTCCGGCGGGGTTACGGATTAACATACCTTCCTTGATGCTAGCAACGCCCGGTTGTTGGGCATGGGAAGAGATGGGGGCATTGCTCGCAGGTGTGTTCTGCGGAGTACTGCGGAGAGAAAATCAAGAGTTAGTGTCTCGGAGGAAGGAAAAAAAAAGTATAGCTAAAAGGCGGGCTCTACATACGGAGCAGGGACTTCTGCACGTCGATTCTTAATAGGCTCCGCCATTGTTGATGGTTCCGTCGCCGATGGTGCGGACTGTGATTAAATTCGCAAGCGAGTATGTCGATGTCGGGTCAAGCACTTGGCAGCCCACAAGGAAATAATTAGAATGGAGGCAACAAAGAACAATGCAGGTAAATATTAGAAGTATGAAGTTATTGTGTATCCAGTTGAATGGTGAAGTCACAAGTAATGGACTCGAAGAACCCGCACACAGTGTGTTAAGGTATAACGGGTGGGCGGATGCGGTGATGAATTTGATTGATGAAACGGGAAAGTTGAACTTTGATTCAAGTCCAACTGCGAGGAGAAAGGTGAAGGGGAAAGTTGTAGTAGTGAAGTAGTTGGTTCACAGCGATGGAGAATTTGATGAGAGAGGGCAAGAAGACTGGACTGGTCTGGTGGGAGAGGCGAAGTGGGGGAAGGCGGCAACCCTGTCAACTGTCCCCTCCAAAGGTTGTAAGTAAAAAGAATGTTGGGTGCCGCTGCCGCCATCAAATAATTTTTTTCATCCTTAAATTTTTTTTTCTTCAGGGCACTTACACGTAACAATTCGCCTGCCTACACCTACAGTTTTTTAGCCTGCAGCCAATGGCAACGCTATTATGTCTGAGAGCAAACATTTGATACCTAAAACAGGTACCTAAGGTACCCTAAGACTAGGTACATACCAACCTAATAAAAATGTATTAGGTGTTAGGTATACAAGGTGTCATTAATGGTATGCCTATGCCCTTATAGGCTTATGCAGCAACTTACCTACATATGGACGTATTGAATGGCCGGATATCAAATGTAATCCGATATAATCAGTTCAGGTTGTGTACGAGCATACAACTGGTAAGAATGCCTAGCCTAATGTGGATAGGTGCTGGGTAGGTACAGACAACGCCTAAACCTGATCGAAAGCGGTGTACAGATTGTATCGATGTAGGATGCACGCAGACCTATCGACTCAAAGAACTACATGCCTACCTCCTAGGTACATCTCGTAGTCTACCCATACACCGTTTCTCGGGTCAAGCCAATAGTTTTCTTATTAGATGCCTTCTACGACTTCTACGACTTCTACGACGCGCCGTACGCAGGTAGCCACGTCAACTCACGTAGAGGTAGTGTACCTAGGTAGGTATGCTGCATACATATGGAGGCATATACATGTACCTAGATATAGTAGTACCTTAACAATGGAGGTACATGTAGGAGCTGGATTAGGTATTTCGCCTTGCCTAATTGGGCAATACGAGACTTTAATGGTAGAATAGAAAAAAATAGAAAAAATAGTTTCTTAGTGGTTAGTTAGGTAAACTTTCCCTTCTTCCCTTATCTGTTATCGCTCATTCTCAGCGTTATCGTTATCGTTGCTACTATCGTTGCTATCGCTATCATTATCCTTTGCATTGGTCTTGAGCTCTCGGTGGATCCTTCAAACTATTAAGGAATTACCTAACCTACCTACCTATGTATTGTTCCAGGGTTGCTACTATGTATAGCATCATCTTCCATCTTCAAAGTTCTGAACGGTGTGATTCATTAATGGATTGAGCTCGAAGCTGAACTTGTAGATTCCCCCTACTTGAAGCTTCAACAAAGGCTTACAAGGCAGACATAGTGTTTCCATTGGTCCTCGAGGATCTGTCGCGCTTTGATACTTCGATAAACTATTCAGGATGTGCCCTAATATTCTAACCATTACCCGGCCGGATCGATAGTCATAGTTGCAAGACCGCGAAGGCGCTCCCCTAATTTCGGATCATATCGGCCCTCTTCGGATGCGCCTCGGTCACGTCGCCGATTAAGCAAAGCTATACGGAATATACGATCTCCATTATAGTTACGGTATATTGAATATGGAGGGGCCTAATGATGATGCGCAACCAAGGCGCAGTGGTCCCGTAGCCATGTACGGGCTTAGCTCTAATCAGAGCAGCTCGAGTGTATTCGAGGATGTGGAGATGGCACACGATGAGGTAGGCTAATTGCATTGTTTAACACCAAGATCGTTTATTCTAAGTTTTGATTGCTTCAGTTATTCTCTGGTCCTATGGCAGAGAGCTTGCCTACAAGCCTCTCGACCTTTTCCCATCGTCGCCAACGCGCAGATTCGACAGCAAGCTTCGCGTACTACAATGAAGAGGATGACGAAGCAGAGCCTGGGTTCATGTATGGCGAAGACGGTGCTGTACCATTTGATATCGACGAGATGCCTCTTGACTTCGAAGATGAAGAGGAAGAAAGTAGTTCGGGAGTCGATCTCGAGAATGGCGATTCGTACGATGATTATTCTATGCGAAGGAGATCTTCAACCCAATCGAGGGGCTCTATTCATGCCAGACTTCTCCGAACAGATAGTGGCGTTACGGATACTAGCGGTCGAGGTTACAGCCGAGTCAGCCAGAAACTACACATGGTCAACGAGGATCTCACCATTGTGATAGCTGGTTTTCGTACGAGTAGACCTGGCTACACTACATATGTTCTTCTGTGTGTTGTGACGTTGGGGCTTGCATACCTCCTTCTACGATGGCTTCCTCGGTGGCAGGTGAAGTTAATCGGCGAGCCATGTCCGCTCCATGATAGCCAGTGGGTGGTGCTTGAGGTAAGTTGTGTTGGAAATTCGTATGCATCAGGCGCTATGCTTACCATCCTATAGGACCAATGGGGTGAAATGACTATACTAGACGTGCAAACGCAGACCTACAACCGTCCTCTTTCAACCGTATTCGGCTCACCCGACAAGATTTTTGCCCAATTGCTAGGAGATGATGCTGATCCGCTATTGCCCGAGCTCCGGGTCCTCAGCTACCGATACGTACGCTTTTTCTACCATCCATTGAAGGGTAAATTCGTTATCTGCAACGGGTGGAAAGATCCTACATGGACTCGCGTACGAGCACTTCGTGCTGGCATTGACGGCGAGGAGAAAGACCACAGGGAACGCGTTTTTGGGACGAACCTCATCGATATCGAGCAGAAGTCCATTCCTCAATTGCTTGTAGATGAAGTAGGTTATTGTTGGCAAAGTATCGGTATGCCGTATAAACTGACAGGCCCTAGGTTTTCCACCCATTTTACGTTTTTCAGATCGCAAGTTTGATCCTTTGGTCATCAGATGAGTACTACTATTATGCCATCTGCATCTTCTTTATGTCTGCAGGTAGTATAATAGCAACTCTAATAGATACACGCGCTGTTCGTCTTCCTTCACCACGAAAATATGCATCGCCACTAATTTTCATTAGACAATGCGACGTCTTCGCGATATCTCTCGCTTTGAGTGTGACGTACGAGTCCTTCGCAACGGCTTCTGTAAGCTTTCTTTTTTATAAAAAAAGGTCTTTTTAGCTATAGGGTATATGGCTGATTATCTCTAAGGGGCCCACGTTTCATCAAGCGACCTGGTTCCTGGTGATGTATATGAGATTAGTGATCCCAGTCTCACCCAGTTTCCTAGCGATAGCTTGCTCTTAAGCGGGGATTGCATTGTCAACGAGAGTATGCTTACAGGCGAATCTGTGCCGGTTTCTAAAATTCCCGCTACCGACGAGACGCTTGAGATTATGAATCTTAGTGCCTCCACAATCTCCCATGACGCTGCTCGTCATTTTCTCTTCTGCGGGACAAAAATCATTAGGGCAAGGAAGCCGCAAGATAATGGCGACGATGAAGCCGTTGCCCTCGCCATGGTTGTAAGGACCGGTTTCAATACAACCAAGGGCTCGCTCGTCCGCTCTATGATGTTCCCCAAACCGTCCGGATTTAAATTCTATCGTGACTCTTTTCGATACATATCTGTTATGGGATGTGTTGCGATGCTTGGATTCGTCGTATCCTTTGTCAACTTCATTCGCTTGGGGCTGACTTGGCATGTGATACTTATCAGAGCATTAGACCTGATTACTATTGCTGTTCCGCCGGCCCTTCCAGCTACACTTACTATAGGGACAAATTTCGCTCTGAGCCGCCTTAAGAAGAAACAAATATTCTGCATCAGCCCGCAGAGAGTCAACGTGGGTGGGAAGCTGGATGTCATGTGCTTTGATAAGACGGGTACGCTCACCGAAGATGGCTTAGATATTCTTGGTGTTCAGCTAGCATCTCAGTCAGCAAAGCGATTTGACGACATCGTCTCAAAAGCGTCAAATCTGGTCCCTAGCACAAGTTTGGATGCTGGCCCTGGGGATAAATATGACATAACTCGTGCTGCTTTGTTCACGATGGCCACCTGCCACTCTCTTCGTTCCATCGATGGTGAACTTGTTGGTGATCCGCTAGACGTCAAGATGTTTGAGTTCACCGGCTGGACGTTCGAAGAGGGTAACCAAGGTAGTACCGAGCAGGAAGATGACGAACAAGGAGGCTTCTCTCCTTCTGTTGCTCGCCCTCCTATGGTACCCCTTTACGATACGGATGGATACGGGACTACCGAAGGCCAAAATGTAAGTTCCACTGCTTAAATGACCTTTGAGTTCGCCTAATGTGTTTTAGGTACCAATCGAGCTCGGAGTCTTGAGATCTTTCGAATTCGTCTCCCAATTACGGAGGGCCAGCGTCATCGTGCGGGCTTTCGGCCAGCAAAGCGGAAATATTTATGTCAAGGGTGCACCTGAATGTATGCGGGATATATGTCGACCGGATAGCTGTGAGTTTTTTAACATCAGTAATTATTTTGTTGTGTCTATACTAATATAGTACGTAGTTCCGGATGACTATGATGAACTCCTATCTTACTATACTCATAAGGGATATCGGGTCATTGCGTGCGCTACTAGATATATCAAAAAGCTATCATGGGTAAAATCTCAGAAAATGAAGCGCGAGGATGTTGAAGCCGATCTTAATTTTGTCGGCTTCATCATCTTCGAAAATAAGCTAAAACCCACGACAGCTGCAGTGCTTAAGGAACTTACGGAGTCAAATATCGGCTCGATCATGGTTACGGGCGACAACATCTTGACAGCCATCAGTGTCGCGAGAAATTGTGGCCTTATTGAGAAAGATGCGCATTGCTTTGTTCCTCATTTTGCTGAAGGTAAGTCGCTACGAACAACCTACATTCTTCATACTCAGCCATAATAGAAAGACGACAGATGAGTCTAGCTTGTCCAATACTAAATCATGAGAAATTTCCCATATGATGTTATTGACCGCTAACATAAGATATACAGGGAACTCTCGCGATCCCAATGCTCGTTTACAATGGGAGAGCATAGATGACCAAGCATACCAGTTAGACGACCGAACCCTACTAGTAAGAGCCTATATGATGACTTCATTAATAATTCAAGCTAATTTGAATGATTGTAGCCTTTACCTGCTCCCGTAGACCGTGATGCTTCCTTACCATACGATATAGACAATCTTAGAAACCACTCTCTCGCAGTAAGCGGCGACATCTTCCGATGGATAATTGACTTTGCTCCGAACGAAGTCATGCAAAGGGTGTGTAATATAACTTTCTTAACCAATTCAACAGTATCCTCCTTATCGGGCGAAGAAGCTAATGAAGCATTAGATGCTTGTCCGAGGCAAAGTCTTTGCACGTATGTCTCCAGATGAGAAGCATGAACTTGTAGAGAAACTTCAGAGCATAGACTATTGCGCTGGATTCTGCGGAGATGGTGCGAATGATTGCGGCGCCCTTAAAGCTGCTGATGTTGGAATATCACTGTCTGAAGCGGAAGCATCTGTTGCGGCCCCATTCACGTCGAGGGTATTCGATATTCGATGTGTTCCCGACGTGATTCGGTATGCTTGCTCCTCCAGGCGTGAACATTGAGCACACCCATGTCGCTAACGTTGTGTCTAGGGAGGGACGAGCTGCTCTAGTAACTAGTTTCAGTTGCTTCAAGTACATGAGCATCTACTCGGCTATACAGTTCACTTCTGTCAGCTTCCTTTACGCCTCAGCTTCGAATTTAGGAGACTTCCAGGTAGGAATATTTCCAGCAACAGCACGTTTTACTTAGTGGCTAACTGGTTTTCAGTTCCTATTTATCGATGTTCTCCTTATATTGCCAATTGCCATATTTAGTAAGTGAAACGGAAAGCATGAGATGAAGCGAAATTGCTAATTCACATACTAGTGGGCTGGTCTGGCCCGTTCCCAGTTCTAAGCAAGAAGCGACCAACGGCGAATCTGGTATCGAGAAAGGTTCTCATACCCTTATTATGCCAGATGGCCGTCTGTATACTTGTACAAACTGCCGCGTGGCTTATCGTGCGGGAGCAAACTTGGTAAGTCTGCCTTAAGGAATTCTCTATAGTATAGTGCTCTAATGCGAATATCATAGGTATATACCCCCTCGGGTAAATCGGGACAAACCTCATATCAAAAATTCGGAGAACACAGCTCTGTTCCTCGTGTCTTGCTTCGAGTATATATTCATTGGTGTGGTTCTTAACGCCGGCCGACCATTCCGACAGCCCATGACTCAGAACTGTAAGTCCTCGATACTCTTGTTTATATGGGGAAAATGCTAACTATCCATATAGGGCCCTTCATGGCCACTATTTTTACGGCTCTAGCCATTACTATATATATGATCTTTATACCGGGCCACTGGATTAGAAATCTGATGCAACTGACCAATATTAGCCCATCATTCAAGCTTACACTACTGGGGTTGGGCGTGGCGTATCTGGTCGCAGCGTGGGTCGGGGAGCACTACATCTTCTCTGGCATTGCTCGAGGAGTTGGCGTGGTGAAAACGGCTGTCACTCGGAAGGCAAAGAAGCGGAAGGAGTATAAGATTATACTGGAGCAGACGAAGGCTTAATCTTTACCTGAAATTTAGCCCCTTGCTCGAGCTTACCAGGGTTGGTGTCAAGGTACGGTAAATAGAACCGTTGTTGCACAAACGAGAAAGAGGAGGTTAGTAGGGGCAAAGCCCCTGGAGCCGATTATATAGCGGTACGCTATGGCCACGCTGGTGATCCGGCGTGACACATGAGGGCACCGCAATAGTTAGAGAATTGGATGTATGGGTACTATAGTGCTCGCTAGGTATAGAAGGCTTTTGAGAAGAATAGGTAAATAGTGTGCATTGTTATTGTATATATACCGAATAGAAGAAATGGTATATACTATCAAAGCAAGATTGATCCAATATGTTAGAACAATAATAGTGATTTGCCGGTGACTGACTTGCTGTATTGTCGATTTACGGAACTAAATTACTATTCGAATAGGTCATTCCCATTCATCTCGTAGTAAATTCAAAGCAGCCGACTACAGCCACCAAGTACTTACCTTAGCTCTTCAATAGTGCTTGAATTACAACTCTTACACATACTCACCCGTCTACGTTGGAATTTCACGGTCGTACAATATAGCACGCAAGGGGCTTTTCATAGCACGAGTAAAGAGTAAAAAATAGGGTATCTATTCCAGAGTAGGGTCTTGTCGAGCCTCTCACGCATTACCGAACTATTTTATTCCGAGCCGGCATCCCTACCCTCGTCCGCGACGCCGTTCTCGGGCCCAGCCCTCGTCCTGGGCACTTCGAACACGACAGCCCCGTTTTTGCCCCCCTTGACTTTCTTCCACATGCCTAGGCGGTGGTCTTTCCCCACCCCGACTACGACGCATAGGCCGTCTTTGCCACGCTCGCCGCGCTCGAATAGAGCGATGTCGTTGACTACGCCTTTGACTAGCCACGAGCGGGCTGTGGCCCCGTTCACGCCGTTGGTTGTTGTCTCTGTGTCTTTGTCTTCGGGGGTGTCTGCGGTAGATGGGTTTCCTAGGATTCCTGCCGGCTCGATTTTCCTCTTGTCGTCGCTTAATCGCCAGACTCGGACGTACCCGTCCCAACTGCCGCTCAGTATGAGGTCGGAGTAAGGCAACGTGCGGAGTGCGGTGATCCACCTAGGCTGCGGAGGCGGTACGACTTTGGGGGTTGGGGCTGTTTCGGCGGATGCTTCCGTCGGCTTTAATGGGTTTTCTAGGCCGTGAGCTTGTGCTAAGATGAAGAGCGGCTTCTTCTTCTGTATGCTCCATAAGGCTAGAGAGCCGTTATCGCTGCCCGTGATGAAGAGCTCATCGTCGATCATCGCGACGCGATCCATGCTGCCTTCTTGGGCTAACGACCGCGGGTCAATCTCTGGCTTCTGCTTCTTGTCGATCGACCCACCGCGGAAGACCAACTGGGTCTCTTCGACGACTTTCCATAAGCGAGCTGTCCGATCTCGTGCACCTACGCTCACGCAACGTTCTTGTGCTAGGGCGTCGATGTCGACGACCTCGTCTTGGTGGCCAAAGAGGGTCTCGACGTACGCCAGCTCATCTAAACTCCATACTTTCACGGTACGGTCTTTAGAAGCCGAATAAAGTTGGTTTGTACCTCGTCGAAACGCTAGACCTGTTACGGCGTCGCGGTGGTGTGTAAAGACGCGCAGGGGCTTCAACGACTTGGCCTCGTAGACGATCAGGCGCTTGTCCGCGCCGCCCGTGACGACGAACTTGCCGTCCTGAGAAGCTGCTACGCATAAGATATCGGCTATATGGCCTTGATAGTTCTTATCATTTGCCTTGGACCGATTCCCCTTGCGCAACGCAACCTTGGTTGGCTGCCGACGCGGAGGAGCAGGAGGCTTTTTCGGCTTCTTCTTGGTAGTTTGCGGGAATTGGTAAACGGGTAAGTCTTGTAACTTCCACTTGACCAAGCATTGGTCTTTTGAGACCGTATACACGTACGGTGCACATATGGCAACAGATGTAGTTGCGAGCGTATTACACCGGAAGAGAGTATGGGACGCCCGGTCGACAGCAAGCTCTAAAGCAATTTTCCTGTACACTTTCCCTTTTGTTTCGGCCACGTCTTCTTGTAGACGCGTTGCTATTATGTCGCGGTCGATATCTTCAGCATTGAAGCCCGTCTCGTCGACTTCTTGCCGGACGTTGTCGAGATATCTTTCTGCAAGCCTCAACCTCTTCTCTGCTGCTGTTTCTCCCTCATTCTCCGATTCTGAATCAGAACCAGGCGCATCCGGCTGTGCCGCGCCATCCTCGCTCTCAGATTCACTACCTGATATAGACTCATCTCGTTCGACTCGTTTTCTAGGTGCAGGTGCGGGTTTCGAGAGCGTCTTCGAAGTCTTAGTGGTCGCGACTCGTTTTTTAGGTCCGTCTATAACAGGTGCTCGTTTCCTTTTTTTCTGAGCGCCAGGAACTGTGAAGAATGACGACATTGTGGTGGTTTACAATGTTTTACTTTAATCAATTCGAACGCGTGTTAGTCGTCTCGTGCCCTCAGAAAATTTCCATCTTTGAAGCAAAAGACTTGGTTCGTAGCTCAGAAAAAAAAAGTTCAACGTCCTGCGGGACACTGACAGGGGACCCTAGGGATACAAAGGTACCTATATGTACTACTATATTCAGTTATGTGATCTAGCCATTGGCTTTAGGTGCCCATCTCATAGCGGGGCGCGCGCGGCTGAGGAACTGTGGCTAGTGTTGTCCGACGTCCGACCTCCACTAGATGATGTCCATTCCAGTCTGAAGCTCTAGATTTGGCAGCCAGCTGCTAGGCTGTAGCTACCTTGCGCGTCTACATAGTACACATTTGCCTACAGCGCCAGTAATTTGAGAACAAGAGCTTCTTCAACACCTACAAACTACATTTGAGTCCATCACCACCTGAACAAATATCCCAAAATGTATGTCACTTATCAATATCATTATAAAATCCTAGTTCAACAGATAGACTGACATTAGCCAACCCAGGGAGGTATTGTTAGGAATCACCGGCAAGGACTTTACCTTAATCGCAGCTTCTAAAGCTGCGATGCGGGGAGCAACCATCCTCAAAGCCTCTGATGACAAGACGAGATCGCTCAACAAGCATACACTAGTTGCATTCTCCGGCGAGGCTGGCGATACGAGTGCGTCAATTCTGGAGAGAATGTGCGGCTCTGAAAGCTAACTGACGCTAGTCCAATTCTCGGAGTATATCCAGGCAAATGCGCAGCTCTATTCGATGCGAAACGAGACAGATTTATCACCTACGGCGTTGGCACACTATGTCCGCGGTGAGCTCGCATCAAGCTTAAGATCTAGAAAGCCGTACAACGTCAACCTGCTACTAGGAGGTGTCGACCCCATCACTCACAAGCCCAGCCTATTCTGGCTGGACTACCTTGCAGCTCTCGCATCTGTTCCCTATGCTGCCCACGGCTACGCACAGTACTACTGCCTATCGATCCTGGACAAGCACCACCACCCGGATATGACATTTGTGCAAGGACTTAAGGTGCTCGAGATGTGTACAGACGAACTGAAGCGACGTTTACCTATTGATTTCAAAGGCATGACGGTCAAGGCGGTTACAAAAGACGGCATTCGGGAGATTGAGTTCAACGACGACAAGATCGTTAAGTGTGCATAAAGCAATATCATTTTCTAGCTGGCAACCCCACGTGTAACATTAGGATTCTAGGCTGGACGAGAAATCGCACAACAGCCTAGTAGCCAAGTCACAGGCTGGCCTATGAAATCTATCAGGTCGGTCATAGCTGCGACCATCCAACATCTTTCGGTTACCACGTATATGGTGAGGGGTTCAAGTTATTCATCACCATACATAGAAAGCCCTGAAGAAATAAATGCTAGCTAGCCAAAGGGGCATAACATGGATAAGATATGCCACGCTATGATAAAATCGTGAGTGGAATGATAGGTCCTATTCGATAGCCTCTCACCCAATAATGGTAAGACCGTATAATGAAGATATACATTGGTCTTATATGTACCGACCGGGTCGTCATTCGAATCTGGGTTGAGTATATAAGATATACGTGCATACGTAGAGACACGGAGACCCAACCCAACCGCGGATCGTAACTCTAGAGATTCCCCCCCTAGTCGTCGCATTCGGCAATCAGGGACTCCTAGCTGAACTGTCATTTATATTTAACTAATAATGATCCATACAGTATACGTCTCTCTCCACCATTCGTGGAAGCTGGCTTTGAAGCAATTTTCCAGGCGGTGTATTTGATTTTTGGGCGGTGAGACTCCTGCATGATGCTTCACCCGTTCACCACGCAGGCGGACTTCCTATTGGAACACAGCAGCCTCGTTGCAGGAGAGTTACATCCGCCTTCCCCTGCTAGCCGCCAATGGTTAGGACGTCTTTAGTCTGGAGAGTTACAAGCCTTATCATTACTGTGGTACTATGCTGGGTATGTTGTAAATCCTAGCTCGAAAAAAGGAAGAAAAAACTCAGTATGTAAGCGTTCAAATCAGCGGTTTTGATCATAGTTTAACCTAGTCATGTAACACATATGTATGACTATAACGCATATAACGCATATAACGGCAGCTGATGATCCACCAAACCCTATTACGTATGCATGGCAGCATCTTGAAGAGAGTTGCAACTAGGGCTGCCAGGGGCTGCCTACATAGCAGCCTAGCAGCCTAGCAGCCTAGCAGCCTACATGTAGGTTAGTTGTCTTGGGTTTGTATGTACATACATAGACCCGGGACTTTGGTGGCGACATAAATCAGGCACACATCATCGAATTGCCTAACAAATAGCAACGTGTACCTCTGATTATGCTTGCTATGTACGCTTCCTATCTAAGCTGAGAGAAACGGTTGGCAGGTTGAGTGAGAGCCAGCCAAAGGGTGCGAAGGGTGCGAAAGGTGCGAAAGGTGCGAAGGGTGTGATAAGTGACCCCCTCATCGGACCATACCGAGATTCGGATAGATGTAGAAGGTGTTCACTCCACGGGGTGAAAAATGATCAAGTTAAGACCTCGTGTAGTTGCCACTGGAACGTACGTATTGAACTATCGAATTATTCAGATTCAGATTTATTTTATACACATACCATAAACAGATGTAAGAATAACTTCTAGAATATACGACATGATTCTATTACGTAGCAATCCTATGACGGGAAGTTGACCAACTTGAACTTGGTGCATGCTTAAGCAATCTAAGGTTGCAGCAACTGAAGTTTTCTAGGTAGAGATTTGGGTTAAAAGGTGCTGCAGTAGAGGTGGTATTCTAGCCGATTTGGGTGAGATTTCTCGACTATTTGCAACCCCCAAGTTTCCATTGATCCAAGGCTCTTTCCTCACAAAGGGAGGCAAAGGAAATAAAAATTGTCGCAGTTACCCGAACCAGGAAGGGATAGATACATTGCAGACATAAAGTGTATAGAATGTATAATAAACGCCGTAGCCAAGATAGACTGGGGGCAATCGCTAGGTACTAGTTACTTGATAATGTTAGCTGACATCCCACTTTCCGTAATACCACTTATGTTGTAATTGCATATAATTGCTAACAATTTCCTCTTTAGGTATATCGATACCGAATAGTTGCCCCCATCTCACTGCTAAGTCGACTGCTATTGGCAACTACAGTTGCAACGTGCCTACCCAGTCTAGGTAGTCTAGGTACCTTAGTCACGGACCAAGCGCTAACGCGTTCTCGATTTTCGACACAACTTCAAAACTTCCTGAATTTTTTTCATCTGATCCGATTCTTCTTCTCCCCCACAATCCCTTTGCCATACCCAACCCTCAAACACACGGCATAATCACATCCCTCCCCCCCCCTGAAAAAGCATTCTGTGTTTTTTTTCTCTTCCGTTCAGGGCCTTATTTTTCCTTGAAAAGATCTGGTTTTACTTTCTTTTCTCAAGGGACCTCGGAAGGCATCTATTACTAGACTTTGGTGTGTGATCACTTACTGGTTCATACGTCGACTCTGACCAACGACCCTGCATTTGATTCTCTTAATAATATTGAGAGAGAAGGTGCATATCGTCGTAGTTTCCTCTTCTACCGGCAATTAATACCATCTTTGTTGGTTCCTTACGACGACATCAGGTTTAAAATTTTCAAATCTGCCCGTACTACCTTACCTCGCCCCCCCTTCTCTTCTTCTGAACTCGTTCGTTCTTTTGAGAGAGAATTAATCGGCTGGGTTCCGTACGAGAAAATTTTCTTCGACAAGCACATACATCAACGTACAATACCTATCGCATATATCATCTTGCAAACACTACGTCAGTATGGCTGATCAACTTAACATGGGCGGCTTGAGCCTGGGCGACCAGCAACAAGCCTCTACACCTCGTTCTTACATCCCGCCTCACATGCGAGGCAAGGTCGGTGCCCCTGGTCCTGGTAGCGGTCCTCCCCCTCCCATGGGCGCTGGCGGTCCTCCACCTAACATGAACGGTCTCAACAGCAGCGCGTGGGCTGGGTAAGTAATTCGCTCTTTATTATTGTACTTGCACTTGATTACAACCCTTGTCAACGTATCATTTCGTCAAAGTATTGAATGAACAAGCATTGAGCGTCTGCTAATATTACATCTATAGTAACAACAATTTCGACGCTCGACCCGCTCCTGGATGGACAACCGGACCCGATTACCCGCCTCCTCAGCAACAGCAACAACCGCCGCCGCAGCAGCCGCAGCAGCAGCAGCAGCAGCAACCGCGTCAAGGAGGCTGGAATAACCGACAGTTCGACCGTAATGCCTACGGCAACCCATCTACTGGCGGAAACAGCGGTGGTGCTGGCGGCGGTGGCGGCGGCGGCGGCGGTGCCTACGCTCGAGGTTCTGGCGACGGACAGTGGCGCGACGGCAAGCATATTCCTGGTCCCCCTAACCCCCGCATGGAGCGTGAACTGTTCGGCACGCCGGATGACCCTTCCAAGCAGCACACCGGTATCAACTTCGAGAAGTACGACGACATTCCTGTCGAGGCCTCCGGCCATGATACTCCTGACCCTGTTCTTACTTTTAGCAATCCCCCGCTTGATGACCACTTGATCCGCAACATTGAGCTAGCTCACTACAAGGTTCCGACCCCCGTTCAGAAGTACTCGATCCCCATTGTCATGGGTGGCCGAGATTTGATGGCTTGTGCCCAGACTGGTTCTGGAAAGACTGGTGGTTTCCTTTTCCCCATCCTCTCCCAGGCCTTCCTTACCGGCCCTTCTCCCGTGCCTGCCGGTGCTCCTGGCGGTGGCTACGGTCGTCAGCGCAAGGCTTATCCCACATCTCTTATCCTTGCTCCAACTCGTGAACTGGTCTCTCAGATTTACGAAGAGTCTCGCAAATTTGCCTATCGATCCTGGGTCCGACCCTGCGTGGTATACGGTGGTGCTGACATCGGCTCTCAACTTCGTCAGATCGAGCGCGGCTGTGATCTCCTTGTTGCTACACCTGGTCGCCTTGTCGATCTCATAGAGCGAGGTCGCATCTCTCTCCAGAACATCAAGTATCTGGTTCTAGATGAGGCTGATCGTATGCTGGACATGGGTTTCGAGCCTCAGATCCGTCGCATTGTTGAAGGCGAAGATATGCCCGGCGTTCAGAGCCGACAAACTCTCATGTTTTCGGCCACTTTCCCCCGGGATATTCAAATGCTTGCCCGCGATTTCCTTAAGGATTACGTCTTCCTTTCAGTTGGACGTGTGGGCTCAACCTCTGAGAATATTACTCAGAAGGTCGAGTATGTTGAGGATAGCGACAAGCGCTCTGTTCTTCTAGATATTCTACACACTCATGGCGCTGGCCTCACCCTTATCTTTGTCGAGACGAAGCGTATGGCGGACTCTCTATCCGATTTTTTGATCAACCAGAACTTCCCCGCCACGTCGATCCACGGTGATCGCACACAGCGCGAACGTGAACGCGCTCTGGAGATGTTCCGAAACGGACGATGTCCTATTCTAGTTGCCACTGCTGTTGCCGCACGTGGCTTGGATATTCCCAACGTCACACACGTTGTCAACTATGATCTACCTACCGATATTGACGATTATGTTCACCGAATTGGTCGTACCGGTCGTGCAGGTAACACGGGTCATTCCACAGCATTCTTCAACCGGGGTAACCGTGGTGTTGTACGAGACCTTATCGAGCTGTTGAAGGAAGCCAACCAAGAGGTTCCGACCTTCCTTGAGACTATTGCTCGAGAAAGCTCCTACGGTGGTAGCCGTGGCGGACGGGGTGGTGGCGGCCGCGGCCGTGGCCAGGGTGCCAACCGCGATTTCCGAAAGTTCGGTGGTAGCGGCTTCAATGGCGGCGGGGGTGGCGGCGGCGGCTTTAGTGGCCCTCCGCAGTCCAACGGCTTCAGTGGCGGCGGTGGTGGTTACAACGCTCCTCCTAGCCAGGGCTACGGCGGAGGCTACAGTGGAGGTGGTGGCGGCGGCGGCGGCGGCGGTGCACCAGGCTATGGCGGCGGTAGCTACGGCAACCCTGGCGGAGCAGGCGGCCAGGCTTCCTGGTGGTAATTTTGATGATATCGTCATGCGCGCCGATATATTCCCTCTATTCCGCAACCCGCATGCGGCGACGGAATTGGCACATTTGCAATGCGGTACATAGATTTCACGGACTCATCTTCTGTTTTTTTCCAATCGAGTTACGCAGGTCTTTTCTTTTTTTAGTTGGCATTTCGACACTTCCCTCGACATACTCCTTTCTACGGCATACCCGACTTCCAGCCTCCAATCTGGATCGGCAGATACGAGTTCTACGTGATAGGACTCTGGCATACGATAGATGGCATCTGTCTTTATTTCGGCTGTTCTCCTCTCAACTTGATACCCATAGAAGACTGCGAGGAGGCATATGCGAGCAGCTACGTGAGACGTTTGGAGGTCAAATCAGTATCTTGACCAAGCATCCTTCGGGGATATTCATCACTTAGAGTAGTGCCGTGCTACAGACGCGGCGACACCTTACGACGATGACGATCTTCCGCTTTGATGTACCCCGTATTTGCCTTTTGGAAGCCGGCCGAGATTCTTTCTCGTTTTCCCATAGAATGGGGTAATGCGTTTTCGCATGGCCGTGGAATTGTGTTGATAGCATATTCATTCATAGACAAAAGTGGATTTCTCGGCTCTCTGGTTGGTAGGGCTCTTACTCAAGAAGGCTCGCCATAGCGAGGGAACCAAATAGAGGGCAATGAACATAGAATGGTAATCTTCGGTGGATCGAGCAACAAAAAACGGCGTCTCGGTGAGCAGGCATATGCTCCAGATCTCTCCAAAGTTAGGAGAGTAAGTAGTAGTTCTGGAATCTGCTCTGACGATAAGGGCATAGGGAATTATTTTAGATTCCATCTGCCACCAATGGTAGTGCTGTCGCAGACATTGGCTGAGACGCTTTCAGGCCCTTTGATGTTCTTCGCGCTGTGGTGGTCCCGTTAGAGGATCCATCTACGACGGACTGAGAACTTCCAAATAAAAAAAAGTTCTTCTTTATTTACAACTATTATAATGCATCGTGAAATTGTTCAATTTGTTCCCAGTGGTATGGAATACTTTGCAAATAGATTTCCCTCGTTTATAGCTATTATAAGGGATAACGTAACATACGTATTCATGTAAATGAGTTACGTTGAATACTTTAGGTACTCAGGTAACATTAAGAGAGATTTTATGCAGCGTAAGGCTATGTTACTTCACCCTAGGTAATGATCCTTTTCCTTTTCATTCATTATCTTTCCCGTCCAAGGTTTCCCTTAATCATTATTATTATCAAAGATAATCTATTTACCTATGTCAATAGGTTATCTTGGGTAAGATGGAAAGAATCTTAATTAATTGGAATTCATTGAATTAGACAGGTACATACCTAATCTTTGTTGAGCTAGCCTTCTGTGGCGCCGTGCTGTGGCTAGAGCCCATCAAACCTCCTGCCCGTGCGATGCCCCACTGCAACCTCGAATACGTTTAATTGATAAAGTTAGCCTACCTACGTACGGATCCGTACTTCGTACTACGTACCTACCAAAGTGCTAGAGCAACCGGCGCCCAGTAACTTTCAGGTATGCAAGGTACCTACATACCTCTCTGAATAAGGTGACGCGACGTGAGCAGGTACGGCGTGAGCACTTTGATTCCAACACTTTTTTTTCTTTCCTTTTCCTTTCTCAGTTTCAACCCATCGACCTTCGCATCCTTCATACTGCAAGGCTTTGTCATTTCATCTCAAACTTTCAATTCAATAATGCCTTAACGATAGTCTGGCAACCCTCGCCTTAATTGAAGGCACTTCTTCTTTCTTTACGTTCTTTAGACATTTACCATAAAACTTGTCGCCGACTGTTGTACTACAAGATCGGCCTACACCACTCTCTCTCATTTACCTACTAACCTAACATCCTACATCTTTTTCAATCACCGTCCAAATTTGCGATGGCTTCAAGAGACGGAACACCAGATCCAAGCCGCTGGTCGCGCGCATCCAGCGCTGCCCCAAGAGATAGCACACCCGGTGATAACCTCGAGGCTAGCATCATTAGGTCTGAATCCGGACATAGCAGCAAGCGACCCAAGAACAAATCCATCGGTGGCGCAGCAGCATCCTCATCATTCCCTACAGTAGGCAAAATCAGACACCTAAAAAAAGAGGATGGAGAGCCGCTGTGGAGAAGAGATATTCAATACGATTTTCTTAAGTCTGTTTTCGATGATGACAGAAAGGTCTTCACCAACAGTTACGAACCCGTAGGAGATGGCAAAGAGAAGCAGAGCTTTGCCGACCTATACATTGATACGATGGCCAGAAGCAGCAAGACGAGTAAGGTTCTTAGGGATAAACTACTTAGTGACAGGGAGGCCGCAAAGAGCATGGCTATGGTGTGCTTGCTTGTCAACGTGGGTCGCATGAATACGACGCTTAACTGTAATGACATTCCTACCGCTCGCTTATATTACTATCGCTAATGACATTTCCTTAGTTTTCCCCGAGATGCGAGCTCAACTCCGAACGTATCATGCTATCCCGTCCTTACAAGCCCATCAAGATGCATCGGCCTACAAACAGCTCCAAGATGCGCCAAGACTGAAGTCTATCTTGAAAGGTGCCGCTGAGGATCGACCTGAACCACATGAACTCGGGGAATTTAAAGGAAAGGACCCGCCTCGATCGAACCCAGTGAACCTCATCTTCCTCATATGTCAGCAAGCATCCTATATCGCAGAATTACACTTCCCTCCTGGTGGTGAATTCCATGACCTAATTATGAAGACAAATTACACGAGCAAATCCCGTGCGAGGGCATTTTTATGGCTAATGTGGTTCTATCTCGAGTCAGACTTCACTGAGGAAGGCTGTGAAGAGAATCCATTTGGTCCTGGTGTCGACTATGGCACCGAAGTGGCGAATCAAGGCGTCCCGCGGATGGAAGAAATGACGGCAGACGAAGAGGATCGCGAGAATATCGACCCGCACGAAGAGATTGAGTTCGGTCGTGAGAAGCAAAACCATAGAGCCAAAATAATAGCAGCCGACCAAGCCTACTTGGCAGACCATCAGAATAAGCGTGGCTCTAGAGGACGGGTCTTGGCTGATGAAGGGCCAACGGCCGCTATCCTCCCTCGAATACGCCCATCAAAACATGAGTCGGATATGGATAGCACACGATCCACTCCTCCACCTAGAGCCTTGTCCCGCCTTGGTGCTAGCAATACTGGACGACGAGGCGGAGCATCCCTGAAGAACTTGATATTCGACGGTTCTTCACCTGCAGGGCCGGGATCCCACGTTATCGAGGGCATCGTTCCTCGGAAGCCGCGTCCTCCCACAGCGCACCAACTAGCAGTAGAGCGGAACCGAAACCAGCGAGTTGAACATATCCTCGGTCGTGGGCTACGCAAGCAGCATCATCGTGCCCGAAAGGCACGTCGACAGGAAGGTGCGATCATACGTGCTAAACGTCGTCTAGCTGCCATGAAGGATGCCCTCGTAGACAGCGATGAAGAGGAATATATGGTATCGCATAGGGAGCATAAGCACCTCTTCATAGACCAAGGTTTTGGTGGTCTTTGCCAACTTCACCAAGAAGACGACGATTTCGGCGAAGAGTTCGCGTCGTACTCGGCGGCATTGAGAAGAACGGATCGACGGCTTCGGCGCTGGGATGGTCGACCCGAATTAGGTGTCGTACTAGCTTCTAAGAAGCGTACTGCAGGCCCACCCTCTGATTACGCCTCACCTGACCCGCATGGCGAACGTGGCAGGAATGGCAGCCCGGAGAAGACAAATACAATCAGGATCAAGCAAAACGGCAACACTAATGGTGATGTCACAATGGAAGACGCAGACGACCTGGATCCTATGGAGAAAGAACTCTTGGGTATTGGCAGCGGCGGCGAGGAAGGTGAAGGTGAAGGCGAAGGCGAAGGAGAGGGCGACGGCGACGGTGAAGGGGAGGGTAAGGATGATTCTGAGGATATCGATATTATTGGTAAGGCGTTACTTGGACTTGACGGTTCGGATGGCACGGACAGTTCGTAGTGCTTTTACAGGAGGTGAACGTTTGATTTCGGCATGATTGATCAATATCATTCATAGTTGACGACGCGTTACTGCTGTTTATTCTACGTCTTCGGCGAGCTTGGTAAAGCTTCGCAAGACGCTTGTACATGTAGGTGATTACGGAAAAGGATGGTTATCAGAGGTGGCTTAGACGAAAGAGCTAAACAGTGAGCTTTGAGCTAAATGATAATATGCGAGACTTAAAAAAAGGAAGAAAAAATATGCCCTATTGGCTCCTTTGCCTTAGGGTTTTGATATGAGTGATAGGGTGTAGCACCCAGGTGTATGATAATGTGTCTCTTCGACTAGCAGTGTACTAATTCTCCGTTGCAACTTAGCACAGTAGATACCTGATACATGGCTTCATTAACCTAGAGAAAAGAGGATAGCCTCTATAATGCCAAAAATCAACTATTGAAGATTTTAAAGAGATGCTCCGAGACCCTTGTTATACTAATGAGTAGTAGTGAAGTTAATGTGTCAAGAGTGAATTATGATAGGAACTAACAGTCATTGATACGCAATGCTGTATATTAATACGATTTAAGACAACTGGTATAGGTGCCTTTATTTTCACTTATTAAACCATCATTTTTAGGGGCTGCAATCTACAACTAGGACGGGGTCGTGTAGCGTTGCGGTTCTCACCTCGTACATACAGATGCTCCCGCAGGTAAACAAGATTCTAGGTTACAAACGATACATGTCTACATAGGATCAGCTTACTTATTAGTCAGAGTCTAGCAGAGGGAATGTTGTCATTTGTAATCTTTCTCGCAACATGGGTATACGACGCAGACATCATGTCGGTTAGGCAGATCAAAGTCGCGTATATACATGTAAAATGGAGCAGTCCTGAGTTGTATTATAAATCAGCAATTGTTATGTTATTGCAAGTCTACTACTAGGTAGGTAGGTATTCAAGAGCTAGTCCTAACTCTGCAGTAGTGCGAGCCTAGACTTGTCGGGATGGAACTTGCTGGCTCGGGACCGCCTACGGATACGGCGTTATGGCGTCCGATGTGGGCGGGTCCGAGAAAGCTTAACTTTTCCCCACTGGTGCGCAACAACACATACCACAATAGTAAGTTAATAGGAGAGAGGAGACAAAGCGCATTAATTAATAATGTATTATTGCCCGAGACTTTAAAAAAGAGATGATGACATAACTTTTCTAATGCAACAACTGCCATTGCACGTTCTAAAGTCAACCCCGGGATTCGGATTCTCTAGGTAGTCTTCAAAGCCGTGCCGTGCTAAGGTTAATTTATACATACATAGGTAGGTAGGTATTAGCCAGGAGTTGAATCCCGCGAGGTATGTATGTGTTCGTAGGACGGAATTCTTCTAATCCGCATCTTGACCGACATTATGACTGCATTCTTCCCGTCAATGCGCCGGTCGCAAAGTGATCCTATTCGTGGTGCTAGATAGGTAGGTATGCAAGTGTTATCACCCGTCTCTAAACACTAGATGCGTATAGGGGTAGATACGGTTGGGAAACAACTACCGGGATTGGCTCGGCTGACTTGCGTATACATGGTTGTATTCCTCGTGGCAACCTCGAATCGGTGTATTGCCTACCTAGTCTTTGTCTAGGTTATGCACCTAAGGTATGTAGGTAGGTTGGTTATGTATGTAGTAGACTAATGTAGGTATTATATGGGAACTTGGTTAGTAATGCTCTTTCCAGGTGGAGTAGTATGCCGGGTAGTATGTATGTAGTGTGTGTATGTAAGTGTAGCTAGCGGGGCCGATTAATCAAGGCATCATATTAAGGTAAAAAGGGTCCTGGGAGGTCCTTCCCAACCGTTTTATTTCAACCAGGTTAGTAATTGTTACTAGTAATTGTTCTAATTCCTTCTACTCTCGCTTACTTACATACCTCTCAGTTCATCTAGCCTAGACTAGGTAAACAGTCGTGTAAGTGTGTAACGGAGAAGTGGCCGGAATTTACTCTCATGTGTTGGTAATAGACTATTACTACCAGACATCCCCCATTTTCACCCGTCGCTTATATTGTTGCTCTTACTACTCCTACTACTACGTTGCTACCCTATTCTCCCAAGATCATCCGCAACCGCTACTTTTTGCTTCATACTCAATAGATAAACCAATTTATTAAACCTGTCTCAAGACCTTATCCAAGCTATAGGATAGCTATAGGATAGCTATAGGATAATTGTGTAACGGCTCACTTATACTTGCTATACCTACGTCACTCTCGCATTGCCTTTGCGAGTAAGTGCTGGACCGCTTTTTTGGATATACCATGGCAAATGAGGCTGAGGATAAGGAGACAAAGCCCGTCGATCCACTTACAGATGTCAATAACACCACCAACTCCGAGCCGGCCTCGGTCTATGAGGATCCCGACGAGGAGATCCGTAGACAAGAAGAGTCCGATGAGAAAAGAGCCGGCCGCGAGGAATTAAAGCGTATTCAAAGCTACGCCACCGACACGAGCGCAATCACTCGCACAACCTCGAGAGCTTCCGTGCCAGCAACTAAGAGGCCATGGTATAAAACACCAAATCCGCTACGATGGGGTTCAATACCCCCTATTCCCAAGGAGCGCCAAGTCTCGAGGGAGTACAAAGCTAGCTTCTGGAGTAAACTAACATTTCAATGGATGGCTCCCATGATGGAAGTAAGAACTCGTACTGATATGTCCCGCTTGGTCTCGCCGTATTGATACAAGTATTTAGGTCGGGTACAAACGGCCCCTAGAGCAAGATGATCTCTGGCTGGTGAATCCCAATCGGAAAGCCGATAGGATGACGGGTAAGGCGAGAGAATCCTTCGAAAAACGGAAAAAGAATGGTGACAAGTACCCCCTACTCTGGGCGCTCCACGAGACCTTCTTCTGGGAGTTCTGGATCGGTGGCTTCTGTCAACTTAGCTCGTCCATTTTTCAAGTCATGTCTCCTTTCACTTTGCGTTACCTCATTGAGTTCGCTCAGGAGGCCTGGGACGCATCTCAAACTGGCTCGCCGCCGCCCCAAATTGGCACGGGAATAGGCCTGGTTATCGGCGTAACTGCTATGCAGATCCTGCAGAGCTTAGGAGTCAACCACTTCATATATCGCGGTATGATAATCGGGGGGCAGACGCGCGCCGTCCTAATTAGCCTCATCTTCGAGAAGTCCATGGTACTCTCCGGCCGGGCAAAGGCCGGAGGCAAGGAGGGTGTCGATAACCCAACAGGGAATGGCCAGGGGGGGAAAGGAAAAGAGAACACAGCCAATAAGACAGAAAAATCAGAAAAGGACATGAAAGGAGATAAGGCAGGCATTTCTGGTGACGGCACTGGCTGGAGCAATGGAAAGATCGTGAACTTGATGAGCGTTGACACCTACCGCGTGGACCAAGCTAGTGCCATGTTCCATATGATTTGGACGGCACCTATTGCTTGCATCATAACTCTCATCGTCCTCGTGATCAATCTAACGTACAGCGCTCTGTCCGGCTTCGCGCTCCTCGTGATCGGTGTTCCGGCATTGACCAGAGCAATCCGCTTGCTATTCCGGCGCCGTGCTGCTATTAACAAGATAACGGACCAACGAGTAAGCCTAACCCAGGAGATTCTTCAGTCAGTCCGGTTTGTCAAGTATTTCGGGTGGGAAGGGGCTTTTCTCGAACGCCTCAAAGATATTCGAACTCGAGAGATCTACGCTATCCAGGTCCTCCTTGCTATTCGAAATGCCATCAATGCCGTCAGCATGTCGCTTCCTATATATGCTTCTATGCTTTCGTTTATTACCTACTCGCTCACCGATCACGGTCTCCCAGCCGCGCAAGTCTTCTCGTCCCTCGCGCTCTTTAACGGCTTACGTATGCCCCTGAACTTGCTCCCCTTGGTTATTGGTCAGACGGTAGATGCTTGGTCGTCACTCAAACGTATTCAGGATTTCATGCTATCTGAAGAGCAGGAGGAGGACGTCATCTTGGAGCCCGAGGGAAAGAATGCAGTTGAGATGCATAATGTTAGTTTTACCTGGGAAAGGACGCCGAGCCAGGAATCTGAAAAGTCGGTTATTGCTGGCGGGGACAAGAAAGGCAAGAATGGACCTCAGCAAAAAGGAGCGAAGCAAAATCAGAAGCCAGATAACAATAATGGATCACCGGAGGAAAACGCCGAGGATACAGCAAGCACGCTTGTGGAGGAACGTGAACCGTTCAAGCTCCAGGAATTGAATGTTGAGATTGGCCGGAATGAGCTGATTGCTGTTATTGGAACTGTCGGAAGCGGGAAGAGTTCCTTGCTCGCTGCGCTTGCTGGCGATATGCGGAAAACATCAGGTGAAGTGGTGCTGGGAGCGTCTCGAGCTTTCTGTCCGCAGTATGCCTGGATTCAGAACACGAGTGTCCGAAATAACATTCTCTTCGGGAAAGAGATGGATCGCGAGTGGTATAAAGAGGTCATCAGAGCGTAAGTCATGTTGGACAATGTTGAAGGAAGGGAAATACTAATTTGTTATCAGCTGTGCTCTACAACAAGATTTGGATATGCTTCCCAACGGAGACGCTACCGAAATAGGTGAAAGGGGAATCACTATCTCAGGCGGACAAAAGCAGCGGCTTAACATTGCCCGAGCCATCTATTTCGATGCTGATATCGTGCTTATGGACGATCCGCTCAGTGCCGTTGACGCTCACGTTGGTCGGCACATCATGGACAACGCTATCCTAGGTCTCCTTAAAGACAAGTGTCGTATCCTTGCCACGCATCAATTGTGGGTTCTTAATCGCTGTGATAGAATCATCTGGATGGATGGCGGCAAGATGCAAGCGATCGACACATTTGACAACCTAATGGCGAACCACTCGGGTTTCAGGCACCTGATGGAGACAACGGCTTTGGAAGAAACGAATAAGGAAACACCGGCTATCGTCGAAGAGAAGACGGGCGGCGATAAGGACAAGAAGAAGAAGAAGCGTGGTCAAGGGTTAATGCAAGCAGAGGAGCGAGCAGTGGCGAGCGTCCCATGGTCTGTTTATACTGCCTATGTTCGAGCTTCGGGAAGTATTCTCAATGCTCCGCTCACCTTGTCCGTGCTCCTACTTTCCCAGGGCGCCAATGTCATGACAAGTTTATGGCTTTCCTACTGGACGTCAGACCATTTTGGCCTAACGACGGGGGTATATATCGGTGTTTACGCCGGCTTAGGCACGCTACAAGCCATGCTGATGTTCGCCTTTTCCATTCTACTGACCATATACGGCACAAATGCTAGCAAGACTCTTCTCAGACAGGCCGTGTCGAGAACCCTCCGAGCACCCATGTCGTTCTTCGACACGACGCCCCTAGGTCGTATAACGAATCGGTTCTCTAGGGATGTTGATGTTATGGATAACAACTTGACTGATGCGATGAGGATGTATTTCCTCACGTTAGCCATGATAATAACCGTGTTCGCGCTGATCATTGCTTTCTTCCACTACTTTGCTATCGCATTAGTTCCGCTCGCCATTCTCTTCGTGCTTGCGGCATCGTACTACCGAACTTCGGCGAGAGAAGTAAAGCGCTTCGAATCAGTGCTTCGATCTATCGTGTTTGCTAAATTCGGCGAGGGTCTCAGCGGTGTGGCATCTATACGCGCATACGGATTAAAGGATCGTTTTATCGGCGATCTTCGAAACGCCATCGACGAGATGAATTCGGCATATTACCTAACGTTTTCAAACCAGCGGTGGTTATCCGTGCGCCTGGACGCTATCGGGAACGCGCTCGTGTTTACCACGGGCATCCTCGTGGTCACGTCTCGGTTCGATGTTTCACCATCGATCGCCGGTCTCGTGCTCTCGTACATCCTATCGATCGTGCAGATGTTACAGTTCACGGTTAGGCAGCTAGCCGAGGTGGAGAACGGCATGAATGCCGTGGAACGTCTCCAGTACTACGGCACACAGCTCGAGGAGGAGGCGCCAGAGCACACGATCGACGTCCGTCCCACGTGGCCCGAGAAAGGCGAGATTATCTTCGATAACGTCGAGATGCGGTATCGTGCGAACCTGCCCTTAGTTCTTAAGGGCCTAAGTATGAATGTCCGCGGTGGCGAGCGTATAGGTATCGTGGGACGAACCGGAGCCGGTAAGAGTTCAATCATGTCGACTCTATTCCGCCTAGTCGAGATTTCAGGGGGCCACATCTACATCGACGGCCTAGACATCTCCACAATCGGCCTGCATGACCTACGCTCCCGCTTAGCCATCATCCCACAGGACCCAACGCTCTTCCGCGGGACGGTGCGGAGTAACCTGGACCCCTTCAACGAGCACACGGACCTAGACCTCTGGTCCGCGCTCCGCAAAGCTGATTTAGTCCCCGCCGACGCAAACATCGACGACAAGGACCCCTCACGCATCCACCTAGACAGCATAGTCGAAGAAGACGGATTAAACTTCTCGCTCGGACAACGACAATTGATGGCGCTGGCACGTGCCCTAGTCCGCGGGTCCCAGATCATCGTGTGCGACGAGGCGACGTCGTCGGTGGACATGGAGACGGACGACAAGATCCAGAAGACGATGGCGGTCGGGTTCCGCGGCAAGACGCTCTTGTGCATTGCGCACCGGCTGCGCACTATTGTCGGGTATGATAGGATATGTGTTATGGATGCGGGACGCATTGCGGAGCTGGATTCGCCGATCGAGCTTTGGAGACACGGGGGTATATTTAGGAGCATGTGCGATAGGAGCGGTATTCGGGAGGAGGATATTTTGGTAGCTACGAGGGGGCTTAAGGGGGAGGAGGAGGAGGAGGATATTGGGGAAGGGTTGAGAGGAGGGAGCGAGAAGGATGATGAGGTTTAGATGATAGAAGGCTGGACGAAGGTAAACCGATGGGTGGTGATATGATATGATATGATACAGATGGGATACGGTACGATGCGATAGGACGGGCCTTGGATAGAAGAAAAGTTAATATTGGGTAGATGTGGGGTATACCTAGGCAGGTAGCGATACACGGATATATAGGAGGCTTAACTGTTAATATTATGCCTATATATGCGGTTTTGTGTGTTGTTAGCGTCGTCGTTGTCGTTGCTGTTGGAGTGATGTCTATGTCTTATATATACGTACTGAGAACCAATAAGGCTAGTTATGATATTAGGAACGAACTGTTGAAGGGATATTATAAGCGTTTGGAGGGGAATGAGTGAAAACCTAGGTAGTTTAGATATAAGGACAACATGTATATCGATAAACGTTTCCAGCTCGTTGTTGTTCTTGTGATATAAATGAGAAAAACTAACCTAACCTAGGTAGATAAGTGAGAAAGAAGGCTATGTGTAACCACTAACTACGTGTAAAAACCCAAAGACGCAAGGGAGAATAGTGCTCGACTTGCTTGTATATATATATATCTGCTCTGTCTTGGCCCGTTTATAACGCAGGGGGTTTCCTAGTAGTTGTCGTGTTTAAGCAGGTTGCAATACTTACCTACGTACATGTATATAGTTGTCAAGTTGCAACGATTCGTACTTGACTAACCTAGGTTGCACTCTTATATATATCTAGGTTACCTATCTACCCCCTTACACCCACGTCCAACATCACGACTTACACGACAACAACTATCGTAGTTGTATCAGAACATACCTACTTACTTGTCCACACCTACCTATGCTACTTGATTCGATACCCCTTACATGGATGGGATCCCGCATCCCATCTGCACACAAGCTCTATATATCTGCCCATCTCCCCACAGCATAGGTATGCACATACATGTGGAATCTCTGCTCATTTCCTCTCCCTTTTTTTGATTAAAAAAGTAAGTATGTAATAAGTAATAACTACCAAACTATGCTATACTATACTATACCGTAGTAATAGATATAGTAGCACCAAGGCCGACCCAATGTTGCCTTTGCCTAAACTCCAACTCTAATGCCCATTACACACACGTACACGCGTTTGTTTATTTTACAGCAAGCAACGATACCTAACAAGCCAGGGGCTGAAACCCAACGAATATATTTGTCTGTCCGATCGATCGACGATTGTCCTCACCGCCGAATACCCAATCCCCCCCCACTGCTTTACAAGGATTGGTTCGTCTGGCCCCGTCCCGGATCATTGCTTGGAATAATAAAAGCTTTCTCTCAGCGATATTCTGCGTGGAAGAATTTGTAAATGCCCAAACACCTTAGCCTCCCTTTTCCAGACTCCGCTGAAGCAGACCCCTTGCCAGATATCTAATGCCGGGGTTGTGATGAACTCCAGGTCTGGTGGTGGCTAGGTGGTGGGAACTGATTTTTCGGGTCGTCTAATAAATCTTCCAAGAAAGCGCTAGGTGCCCGTCCGCTGGGTGGTCGGTTTAGATTCAGCGAGCTCGCGCTCATGTTTCGTTGTGCTAAAGTCCCACGAGGTGCCAGACTGGGAGACTCGGGCGGGGTGTGTCCAAGAGGTCGCGGGTGACCGCGCGAATCAGGCCGCAAGTTCGTCAGACTAATATTATGACTATGGCCCTGCGGAGAACCCGCCCCGGCGGCATAGAAACCGGAGGGTAAGAACCGGGATTCACGATTACCGCCGGACGCAGTAGGAGCAGTGGGCGAAAAGAAAAGATTGGACTGGCTCGGGGTTTGCGAGGGGATGGGTCCCCGCGTTGTTCTTCGCACGCCACGACCTGACCCGCCGTTACCAAGCGAGGCCGAAGATGCCTGGTCGGTATACTTATAGAACGGTGGCGGTTGCGGCGGAAAGGTAGCCTTGTCGTTAGCAAGTTGCTGAGCCAATGCCGCCCTCTTAACCGAGCGGTGCAGAAGACAAGCGACGACCGCGCGCCATACCAAGACAGCAACCCCGAAAGCACCTAGGATGGCTCCGACTGCGATGAATACGGTCCCTTCCGGTACGCTTGACGGCTGCATAAACGGGGCATTATTCGTAGGAGGAACGGAAGGGGCGGGATAACTATATTGACCAGGGAGAGTAGGAAGCGGTCCATCACCATCGGATGAAGTTGAAGTGGTAATAGGTGGAGGAGTATCGGTGGACGAAGGCTCCGTTGTAGCACTAGACTCGGTCGACGTTTCCGTCGGGGTCTCGGAGGGTTGATCGGATGTGGGAGAGTCCGTCTCGGTGTTCGTATCCGTCTCCGTCGGCGTTGGAGTTGGCGTAGGAGTAGGCGTTGGAGTTGGGGTTGGCGTTGGAGTAGGAGTTGGCGTCACGTCGCCCGTTGCGTCGTCATCATTGTTATTCCCTTGGGCGATGACGTTAGAGGCGAGAAGGGCGACTAGAGCGAAGAGAAACGGTTGCGTTCGCATGATGGGCGAGTTTGCGAAACAAAACGACGAGAGAAGTAATTAAGCGAAAGAGGGTCTCGAGATGGTTTATTATGCGCAATCGCGAGCGCACGGGGATGGACACTAGGATTTGGATGCTCTCGGATACAAAGTTTACTCTGTTGTGATTGTGGCTGAGCGAAGGCACGGTGATCTGGAGTTTCTCTCGTATTTGGCCCCAACTCAATTACGCAAAAGGGAAAAAGGCGCCCCCAACGTAGACACGAACGAGGGTTCAAAAGAGGTCAAGTTACGATTGTAAAGTTTATAAAACAAAAAAAGAATGTGGGCGTAACGACGGACGAGAAATAATGTTGATTAAAAAAGTTTAAGAGTTTTGCATTGTTGTTGTTTTATTGCCGATTTCCTTATGAGCCTCCCACCACTTCGTTTCGCTGATGTTTGGCGAGATGGCGGATGGCGGATGGCGGATGGCGGATGGCGGATGGAGGATGGGCAATAAGCAATGGGCGAATGGGCGATGGATAATGGGATAATGGAGACGAGGGACCGACGAGGGACCAACTAGAAAAGGAGGAGAAGCTAAGAGGATGAGGAAAAGAAGGCAGGCACGCTCCACGCTTCATGCCCCGTACGAACCTAACCTAGTTTAAAAATCCAAATTGAGGGAAGACGAGACGAGAAAAGGCTTGCGTAAATGATCTAAGTGTACTAGTACCTTGTTAGTACACATTACTAGCACATCTTACTACATAGTACCTACCTAGATAGGATACCGCATGGCTGGGTTGACTTTTACATAACAAGCGCCGCTGTTAGGTAAATTGTGTCAAAACCCTATCATACCTATCGTACATAGGGGTCTTGATGGATGTACAAAGTAACGGTACATCCATCCATCCATCCATACAGATTTACATGCACAAAGCACGGCATCGGCGAATATGGAAGCCCGCAGCTACGCTGTGCGACTTGGTAGTACGGCGCACAGCAGCTACATACATACATAAGTTATTTACCCTGTCCTCCGAACGAATCTATCGGAGTACATGTATTACATATGATGGAGTTACGCAATTGCTCACTTGTATGTATGTATGTATGCGGGTAGGGAATTGAGATCCTCACTTAAGCATGGACCTGATCGTGGACCTGATCTAGAATTTCCTAGAACGCTTCCAGATTCCACGTGGTGGCTCTTCGTTCTAGACGTAGTGTATGTAATTGTGAGACATCCCCAGCCCATCCTTATGTAGGTAAGTACCTATGTAAAAACAAGAAAGCCCGGTTAAGACGCAATCGTCAAGTGGGCTAGTAGGTAGAAGTATCGGTACATATAATGACTTACATAAGGTACCTATGTACTTCAGCAACGCGTGGGAACGCGCGCACTGACCAAGTTTAGACGCCAAGATTAGCAACTTGAACTCCGGCGGAACCTTACCTCTAGTATGAGGTACATATGTATTAGCAGCGGCTAATCTGATATTCCACTTCCCAGGGCGGTCAAGATTTTCCATAGGCGGCGGCAGATTTATTATCATCTTGATAACCTTTACCTCTCAGACGCCCACCAACTTTGACATTTGCTTGGACGTACCACGTGCGAATTCGAATCCCCTCGCCGCCCCGCCCCGCAACCGGAAACATTGAAGCATACCGATCCGAGACAATTAGGAATCCATCATGGGCGTCGCAAAGAAGACGCGCAAGTTCGCACAGGTTCGTCCCACTACTCTGAGAAAACACCTTATCGATAAGCACCAAATAGCATCACCATCACCACCACCACCACGATGATGTATATATATACCTATATATACTAACCCTCCATCAACCCGCAGGTAAAGCGCATAATATCGCGCCGCGACGCACGCCTCAAAGAGAACCAAACCAAAGCCGCCACCACCACAGCCGCCGCAACCGCATCATCCAAGCCCTCCACCTCCGCCGACATCATCCGCCGCCAAGTCCCGCAGCTCCCCTCGTCGCTCTTCTTCCAGCACAACGAAGCCCTCGTCCCGCCCTACAGCGTCCTCGTCGACACCAACTTCCTCAGCCACACCGTCCAGCGCAAGCTGCCCCTCCTCGAGTCCATGATGGACTGCCTGTACGCCAAGTGCACCCCCATCATCACCAGCTGCGTCATGGCCGAGCTCGAGAAGCTCGGCCCCAAGTACCGCATCGCCCTGAGGATCGCCCGCGACGAGAGGTGGGAGAGGCTGCAGTGCGATCACAAGGGCGTCTACGCCGATGATTGCATTGTCGATCGCGTCATGTAAGTCCGGTTCTGGTTCCGGTTCCGATTTTCGAGTCTTTGGAATCCATCGCCCGTGTGGTGGTGTCGATATAAGCGACGTGACTTAGTAGCTAACCGCACCCGATCAGGAAACACCGCGTATACATCGTCGCGACCAACGATAAGGACCTCTGCCGCCGGATACGCAAGATCCCCGGTGTCCCTATCCTCAACGTGGCTCGGGGGAAATACGTCATCGAGAGATTACCCGGTGCTCCTCAATAGTGAGCATCTACATAGGAGATATGTATAATACGCATGCATAGCTATTTAGAGGCATCCGGCGTTAGGGTAGATATTTATCATATCAAGTTAGACTGGCTTAAGGCAAACCAGACGGCGTTATAGGCAGATAAACAAAAAACCAGTCGATTCAATGATTCAATGCAAGGAAGGTTACAATACAAATTAAACGTTGCTAATCGGACGTGTATGCTCAATGAAAATCATGTTGAATAACAGCAATGCAATTATTATCCCCATCTCATTTCGGGGGTCGAGGCCACCTGGGATGGGTTTCTATGTACACTGATAACCTCGTTCCGTTGAAGGGTCTCCTATACCCAACAGCTCTCGTCGTAAAAGAAAACCACCGGGTATAAATGGGCGGTTAGCTACCTTTTTGATTCTATAGTCCACGTCACTGCCACACGCACACACATGAAATGCAGTCATACCGTGCCGTTCCACTTCCCGAAAAGGACTCGAGAGAAAAGAAAGAGAAAAAGGCCACGCAGGAACGCCATTGACCCCGTCTCCGTTGGAGAAAAAAAACAACAACAATCGACTACTGTACACCCCTTTTTTGTTGCGCCCTTCGGCGAGAGCTTACTCCTTAGATGCATATATATCAAGGCGGACATCTAGAGGCGCACCACCTTGAGTTGAAGAGGATCAAAATGTAGTAAAAACCGCCCCGCGCCAGACAAATGTGTAACAAATACGCCGCTCCAATATCGGATAGGAGGTCATTAGGAGGACTAGTTTAGGAAACCTTTGCAAGCCGCAGTCCCGCAGAGGCAGGGTATACGATCCAAGCTCCCTATTTCTCGCTCAAACTTGTAGTCGTACGTCAATTCCTCGTCTATAAAAATCCTTGTTAGTACCATATGAAACTATTAGATGGGCATTTGCAAACTTACTCTGAGCAATGTCTCGCAAGGCATAGATGACAATTCTCTTACTGCCCTCCACCTTGATAATCTTGGCTGTGCAATTTGGCATGCAGCTGTGGTTGATGAAACGCGCAATGCCGCCCTTCTTCGTTGCGTCGATGACCGTGCTGTCGTCGATACGGAAGAGGTAGCTGCTACCAATGCCACTCTTAAGATAACGGTTCTCCCGAATTTCGGAAATGGACTGCCGAACCTCTTCGCCGACATACTCGATGATCATGTCATCCTTGTTAATGTTCTCCATTGCGTAGAGGCCCCAGTTATGTATAGCAGAACGAGCAAATTTGACTGGCTTCTTCCGCTTCTTAAGCTGGTTGAATCTAAGAACCTCTGAGTCCTGACCTAGAGTTCTCTTCTGATCGTTCAGGTCGGCGACAAATCGGCGATTGTTGACACGATTTGCTCTTGAGTTGCCCTTTGCTAATAACTTCTCTGCTGCAAGCTTTGCCGCTTCTGCAGCTGCAGCTGCGGTGTCTTTGCCGTCTTTCTTGGCAGCACGGAGCTGTCGCTCTTCCCTCGCCTTTTGGACCTTGATATGATGAGGAAGATATTTGGACTTCTCCGAGTTGAGAATCTTCTTCACGCCTTCTGTACGAGCACACCCAGTAGGGTTTGGTACATAATAGCCCTCAATAGTAATGGGTTCGTCAGGGGATGACCCGTCGGCGTTAAGCTCCCGCACGCGATTGTGTCTCCATACCCAGAGTCTGGGATCGCCGACATCAACAGGCTTGAATTTTTTCTTTAGTTTGCTAACATCAGGATAATCTTTCGGCTGGAGCTCAATCTTTGACATGGATTTGACCGACAAAGTAAATGGATCTGGAAGGGCCATTGCTGGAAGTACCAAGTCAGAAAAGCGCTCATCCTTTATAACTGGTTTGTCTATTGCTTCTTCCACGGCTGGCTTTTCTGACTGCTCTTCAGGCTCTTGGGTCTCTTCCTTGTTCGTTTGCTCTAAAGCCTCCTCAACGTATGCCTCCTGCTGTTGCTTCTTCATGGCCTCACGCTCTTCGAAAAGCTGCTTCTTGGTCTTCTTCTTAGGCTTTGCTATAGTCACCTTCTTCCTTCCCTTAACAGGCTTCTCGGTCGGTGTAGGCAGCTCGGTGGCGTTAAGACTCTTGACATTGTCACGCCCAGCGTCAGGCATAGGTACGTCGTCAGTCGGACTTGGGAATTCGCTCTCAAGCGTATCAATAGTAACTCCAAAAAGCTCTTCGTCAGACTTCTTCTGTCGCTTGATAGCAGCCTCGATATGCAAGTCGAGCTTCCGCTTCTTTGCTCTAATAGGTCCATCGTTGACGGGGAAACTAGCATCTGTCATGGAGTCTTCGTCACCGAAGCCATCTTCGAAGACATCGTCCTCCGTACTCAATCGGCTACGAGGGCGCGAATCTGGCTCTTCGACATCGCGCGCAACAGAGTCTCGGTTCTCGGTTTCATCTTCGGATGCCTCGTCATCACTATCCGGAGGCTGTAGCCGATGGTGAAGAGAACGAAAGGCATTATGTACCACAGAAGATCTCTTGCGCGCAAACGGGTCTGTAAACCCATAGTTCCGCTGCGCAGCACCTTGACCCTTAGCTTTCCTAATACGGGGTAGAGCAGTAACATCGAGACGAGCAGTACGGCGTTCGATCGGGTCGGCTCGCGAATTGGGAGTACTAATCGGAGTTTCGTCGCGCTCTTCGACGCTGGCGGCAAATCGGGATGAGCCAGCCGGGTCCTCGAGGTTCAATCTTCGCCTTTTAGCTACATGGTTGTTTGGGTCTAGAAATGTAAATAGGGCAGGTATAGCGACTTTAGTCCTAATATGTCTGATTAAATGCTCCTTCATTTCACGACGAACAACTTCAACAGCCTCAAGTACGGGATCGAAGTTCTTCGCCCTTTGCTTTTTCTCTTCTTCCAAAACTGCTTCTTCGTCGCGACGTCGCTCGTCGCGGGGTCTATACTGGTGTTCGTCTCTATAACGGGTATCTGCTAATGGCCTCTTTTCTGGCTCGCTTCTTCGTAGGGGCCCGGTAGAGTTGGAAGGTCCAGATAAAGCAACCCCATGGAGCTTCATTGCCATAGTATAGGTGAAGAAGGCACTGCCATCTGCCGATCTGAAACACCGGTAGGCCTCATCGCGACCGAACGTAGTATTGGGGAAGATTATATAGTAACCAACGCGATCGGCTCGTATATCCTCGAATTGGAACGCCTTCAGGCGTTTTTTCATATGAGGTATCGTTGTAACCATCACTGGAACGCTAGAGTCGGGAACGAATACGTATGGTTCGCCTTTGAGGGTAGCCGGGATAGGTTGCATATCGGCCAACACGGAATAAGCCTTAGGCTTCGTCGGGGGCGTCCAGGCAGACTCCGCTCCTCCTAGTGAGGGTCGTTGTCGATCAGCAGCAGGACCTCTCGGGGCAGCAGGAGGCGCTCGGCTGAGCAGCTCGGGAGGCATTAGCCTTGGACCCGTCGGTACAGGCGGCGTAGCAGTTGCACGCTTCGCTTCGACTTGATCCTTCTTAAGGATAGTCTCGAGCATGAGTCTACTTTTCTTGCCATCCCGATCAAATTCTACCTTTATATGGTTCGCCTCAATTTTCTTGCCGTTCATGGCCCTAGCAGCTCTTCTTGCGGCATCGATGGCTGAGATGGGAGGCCGTCTTGGTTGCTTCGAGTCTCGGTATCGAAAGGTCGCAAAGCCCAGATAACTACCTGTGTGAGGATGCATCTTGTTGCTGCTCTCAGCAATATCGCCAAACGAGGTGAAAATAGTCACGACCTTAGAGAAGGCGATCAGGGGGTTAAATCCGCTGACGACGATCTGGGTTGGCGGCCCAGGGCCAATGGAGGTGGCTGCATCATACGGGTAGGGCTTGAGATTATACGGCGTTTGGCGTAGCCTCGCCTTAGGTAGATGGAAGTCGACATTGATGTAGTCAAGCCAGCTACCCTTGGATAGGCGAGGGTCTAGAGGGGGAGCGTCATCTTCCTATTCAGTGTATTAGCCAAAGTTCTCACGCAAAGCAGATGACGCTCCCCCTCTATCCATATAATATGTTATACGTACCAAGCCGATATTCTTGTATTTGGGTTTCAACGTTTTCCTATCGCTCGAAGACAAGCTCTTGTCGGTTGAAGGATCGTGTATGCACTTGGTTCCTTTTATAGTAAGGTTAGGGTCTCGAGCCGGGAGGCGCTTGACGGCGCTAGGAAGACTAGACGACGACCCCGTGGCCATTGTGGGATTCGTACTATCAGATCTGCTAGTAGTATTGTGAATGGCGGAGGTGCGCTGCTTCGCGGCTTGTATATGTGGGGGGTTTGTGGGCGAGCCCGATATAGTAAGAGGAGTGAGGTTGCTGTTGGATGCGCGTGAAGAAGCATTTAAGGCAGCGGAGGAATTGAATGTGGTGAAGACAGAGGATGCGGTACTCGCATGGGAGCTTGCGGAACCAACACCATTGAGGGTATCCCCTTGCAAGGACTCGGTATCATCTGTCGGGGGATGTGCGGCATCAGACAACGATGAATCGTACTTGGCGCCATCGCGGTTAGCAGGCGTTGCCGTTTTAGAATCATGTTCGATAGCTTCTGATGTCCTCGAGGACTTCTCGCGTTCCCGTTCATTAGCCTTGTCTCTGGCGGCGCGAGGAGCGTTAGGAAAGAACTCCTTATAACCAGCGCTAGGAGCCATGATTCGGAGGGTCGAAGTTGGCGGCTCCGACTATCCACCGACCATCATATCTCGAACCGGCAATGGTCGAAAACACCATTCATTTATGACGCGAAAGGAGTGTGTGTGATTGATGTACTGAAGTCGGGGGGTGGAAGTGGTAGGAGGATACGCGAAACTTCTGCGTCCACGCGACAGGATCGGAGATCTGACGTGTGGACTCGTCAAAAGACAAGTATCTGGTCTTGACGACGTGGAAGGCGAATAAAGAAGGGTATATGACTAAAAACTAGCCCAGTACGGTCGCGAATAGATGTAGAAGGTGTGCCTATGGAATTTGCACCGGCGAGGTCGAGACTGGGCCTTAGTTGAAAAAGGGCGGGCGGCAGATGGAGAATGAAGAGGCTGATGCCGAAAAGTTGAATTGGCGGTTGATGGGCAAAGCCAGATTCTGATTTCAGGGATGGGGCCAAGTCCGGGGGATGGTAGCCACACCTGTGCCACATTTCTGTTCTGTCTTTTGTTCTCAGGTTTATGTTTCCTACCTAGCCGCACCTGTTCCTACATGTGGCGTTGCTAGGCTGCTAGGCTACATTAGGTACGTGCATAAATCTGTATTGGCAGTCGGATCTTCCCCCTTATGCATTACAACGTCACCACTATTTGTTATTCGCTGTTGCCCGCCTGCATGTATCGTTAACAATCATCGAGAACGAATAGAATCGGCTTTATCCGTCAGATTCAGAACCCGATGCAACTCCTTTTTACCTAGTCAGGCACCTGCCTCAGAGTGCTTTGACTACTTAATTTACTATTCAATATGCATCTCTGCCTTCCAGGGCTGCAAGTGTTTTACAGAGGATTGTTGAACAGAATTGTAGTCTGCCTACCTAGCTAATTCAACTAAAGCTTGTAAGTAATTATGTACTGGGCACACCGGTATTCTAGTATAAAATAAGGTCTTTGAATATCAGCCCTAGATAAGAGACAAATCTAGTCAAATCTAAAAGAAGAACCTGCGAAGAGTTGTCTGATATAAAATTACTCATTGGGACACATGTTAATTAACATAGTCGTAATTCTTATCTTTTAGCAGTCACTCAGACCTCCACGTCAGCCAGACACACGGCCAAAGCAATTGCTATTTGTAGATGATTATAGTTGCCAAGTGGCTCAACCACTTGTTAGGCTCCTAATACATGATCTAATACATGATCTCTAATCTGATTTTTAGAAGTTCGCCTGATCCTTCAATGTCAAAGTGCTTTCCAGAACAATTTAACTAAAGAGTAAACTGAGTGTTTGCAGGACCAACTTAGAACATACATAGGGATATTCATTGAGGCTAGCCAACCTAGGTTACTGGATGCAGCCTGGCCTAGGACAGGCATTTGAAAGGGTCTCATTACATAGGTATTATAGGTAGAATACTACTATAATCAACTGCCTTAATGAACTATCAATACAAGAGCCTTAATACTGCTAGAGGCATTTTTTCTGCATGTAGTAAAATCTAATGCGCACGTGAGTAGACGCCAACTCCATTTCGTAAAATCAATAGCCAACTCCTATTGCAATGTGAATGGTGGGAAACCTCTAATCGGCAAGTTTGAACTCGAAATCTTCGTCCTCGTCTACACATGGGCCTTTGAGCGTGCTTCCCGCGAGGAGATCGAAGTCATCGTCGTCATCATCCTCCTCGGGGTTGAAGATGGAGAGAAATGGAACTCTCTCCTTCCACTCCTGATCTTCAGCTGCGACTATAGCTTGTGTGTGAGCGTATCGAGCAGGGGTGATAGTCCGGTCAGACTCGTTTGACAATGTCGTATTAGTATGAGTAAATCCAGTCTTTGATGCAGGTCTTTCGGGCTTCGCGGTCCCCTGGGCAAGTATCGAAGCAGTAGCTCGGCCCTTGTTATAGCCAATTGTAGTTCGTGAATTTGCCTCCATCTCCGTTGATGTTTTCCTAGGGAGTACCTGGGACTGAGTGCCGGGTTGTCGTCTGAAGCTAGACATGGAAAGGGATGTGTTCTTCTTGGCTGGGATTCTACTGACTTCCGCGGGCCTTGCTGCCTTTCGCTGTAATGACTTAGTTGTATCATCCATCGATAGAGCTTTAGCAGCCTTCTTTGCTTGAATAGTGGATGGCACCCTGTTCATCGCAGTTCTCTTAACCCCGAGAGGTGCTCGAGTTGGAACGAAGGTTGCCTTCTTAGTGGTCTCCGGTTCTTCTTGAACACCCCACTCAATGCTGTCGATGTCTTCCTGGATGCGCCTGTCGCATTCCTCCATGGCCTTTCGGTTTCTCTCTTCCAACTCTCTGTCAGCTAACGAGACGCCATTCTCATCGAGAGGGTTAAAATAGTGGTCATAATAGCCCTTGAATAAGTTCTCTGGTTTTAAGGCGTCAAATTTGAGGGCGCCATCGGGAAACACGTCAGACTCGTAAGGGAGGTCCTTCGGTTTAGGAGGACAGTATTCAATCTCCTCTTCACTTAGCGAATCCGCTCCTTCGGCGTGAACTACTAACTTCTGTAATTCAGCTTGCGGCTGCTTCTGCTTGGGTCGAATAGTTCCCGGCGCCTTGCCCTGAGACTTCTCTAGTTCGCGAACGGCGCTCTTAACAGTGATTGCCTGCGAACCCTTCGCTTTTGCGTTGGTAGTCTTGTCACCTAGAGGTGCCCTACTGCGCGGACCTATTCGTATGTGTTAGTCTTGAGAGAAAATATGACAACTTCGAGGACTAAACAATAGTAGAGCGCATACCCGAGGGTGTGGCAAGATTAGCCTTATTCACACTTTTGCCTCCTTTGGTTGTGAGGGTATTCTCATTGCCTCTTGATCTGCCGCCGATGATGCTCTTGGCACCACCTGCACCATTTTCGTCGTTTAGAGGGACCTTAATAGGTGTGTTCGCATATCTTGCACCGGGTGTTTTGGGCTGGAGTTGGCGCTTCGCTTGGCCTTGCTGCTGCTTCAGGGCAGCACCATTCTGGTGGCTAAAAGCCAAATTCTCTTGATCTCGAGCCGCTAACATCGTGGGCAAGGTTGACTGAGAAAATAGGCGGTAATTACGCTACGGTTACCTGTGAACTGGATGCGATGTCGTAATTTGTCGTAATTGCTGTATGTTTACATCTGTATTGTCGAGGAGAACCGACTCCCCATCAGCACAGACTTCTGCTCTAGCAACAAACAAAATCTAATGCTTGGTAGCGTAATGTGAAGCTGGAGAGTAGTATTCGGCGGTGGACAATTATTGATGAAATGGATCCATTGTTTGCCTCGTCCTCATTTCTTAAGAGAATGGTTTGAATGTTGTTCTAACTTTATTTGGGTGGAATGGCAGTTGCCAAAGCAACAAGATTCGGTACTTAGTGACATAGGCCCCTTCCGTTGTCATGCAACCTTATACAGTGTAGAGTTTGGATAATTCATACCATAAGTTTCTCACTAAATATTACGAGGTAAGACCCACATGTGACAAAGCTAGAGGCACTGTGCGCCCAAAACAAATCATGAGACGGGTCCCTCTATCCCCTATCGGTCACTTTCCAGGGCAATAGGGAAGGCGGGGCAATCTAGTACTAACCCACTTGCCTTACATATGAAATTCCACGACTATCCATTCATCTAGTTCTGGTTGATCAATTATTCAACAAGCTCCTTTTCCCTTATTCTCTTCAAAGTCTCTAGCCTCCCTTCGTCGTCTACCTAATCCAGCATCTAACCTGCTTCACCGATCATCCCGATTAACCTTTTTGTCTTTTCCCTTTAGCTTTCCTTCTAAGCACCCATCCCAAAATGGCGGCGCACCACATCAGAGAGGTGAGTTGGTCTATCTCTCAGATTTCCCCCTTTACCCCACCATCAAGCAGAGCGCGATATCAAAGGGGCACTCGAGACCAAACTACAAAGTCTTGCAACGCAGCGTTATGAAGCATATTTTTATATCTAAACATCAATTTACGATGATATTAACAATGATATTAACATACATCTTCATTGTAGAGAATGAACCAGCTCCGTCTGGAGGCTGACGAGTCTATTGCCAAAGTCGAAGAGTTACAGACTAAAGTCAAGGCTCTCGAGCAGGAAAATCTCGCCAAGGAGCAAGAGATTACCTCCCTCTCCCACAAGAACGGTCTCCTCGAGGCTGAGAACGAAAAGCTCGACACCACCATCAAGGATTTGAAGAAGACGGCCGATGAGGGCTTGCAACATGGTACGCACAACGAAACCCTCCAACGAAGACTTCAGCTGCTTGAGGAAGAAGCCGAGGAAGCAGACAAGACTCTTCGTGAGACAAATGAGAAGTAAGTTGCAAAACGCGCCCGGGACACTTGGGGGGTTTTACGGGGTTCTAACAGTCACAAACTACAGGCTCCGCCAGACTGACGTGAAAGCCGGCCATTTTGAGCGCAAGGTACAGGCGTTGGAGAACGAGCGGGACCAGTGGGAGACGAAGTACGAAGATATGTCCAAGAAGTACCAGGCTCTCCAGAAGGAGTTGGAGGACCTCCAGGCCGAGATCAGTAACATTTAGGACGGTATCACTTTCGTCGAGACGGGTGTCGCGAGACGTCGAGGCTGTGCCTTAGAGGCCAAGGATTTCTTTTTTCTTACCAGCACTGGCACTATGTCAACTTATACGGCGGAGGCCTGGCTTGATCGACCGACCTTTCCGACAATTTTGAAAGGGGCAGAAATGTCGCGGTGGCAGTTGAAGAGAAGTCAAGTTTAAGGCATGTTTATTTGGTGGACGTTTTATGTTGGTATTTGCTGTAGCAAAGCCCGCGAGACGGATAGGGAATGCGCTAATCAACCACTTGGTTTCTTTCTAATCTTGGCTGCTTTCTCTTTCCTCTGGTTCAGTTGCCTATCCGCCTTGGACTCGTATCTGAACTTCGGTTTCTTCTTCTTGGGCGGCCTGGCTTTCTCCTTGCTTCCTGGTGAAGCATGTTCCGAGTCTTGCTTTGCCGTCTCTTGATCCTCCTCGCTCGAGTCCTCCGGTTTAGTGCTCGACAATCCATCCTTAGACACGCTGACTGACTCTATTGTGACCGTAGTATACCGCTCTTCGTCAATGTATTCTTCTTCGTGATCGACGGGTTCCAGTGCAGGTGTATCCTGAAATCCTCCCCATTCGTCTGCTTCATCGTTTGAGGCTTCTTCCCCTCCCACGTAACCTGCCTCTTGTGCTTGCTTTAGGATAGCATTGACGTTTTGGACGTGCTCTTCGACTTCTCTCTTTCGATCTTCCCGTATCTATAGAAACGACTCGTATTAGCGACCTAGTAGTTCTGACTTTCTCATAATAAATACACCCCACATGCCTTTTTTCTAATCTCGATCTTTTCCTGTCTAGCTCTCTGAGCAGCCTGTTCCTGCGCATTCTTTATCCTTTGCAATTTGCGCTTGTGGAAGCCGGTCAGATAATCGGAACGAGCATCGTTATCAAATTTGATCTCCTCGACCAAATGCTGAGCCTTGCGTTTCTTCGGCGGCGGTACGAGTAAGCCCTTCTTTGGCCGTGGGCGCGCAAACATTTTATCTTTCCAATGCGGAAAGAGAAAAGACAAGGTCAAAGTTAATCGAGAATAAGAGCAGAAAATATAGTGTTTAATTTTAGATTAGAGTAGAGGCCGGGCAAGAGTGTAAGGGATATCAAAGTGAAAGTGGTGATTGTAGCTCGAAGCCAACTGTGATAATAAATTTTAGCGACTTGGACCGTTGCGTCCAGTTCATTAATCTATCGCTATCTGATTGGCCCCGCCTTGCATATTTTGGCGGCCAGCCTGCTAAGTTTCAGCGCGTTCAGGGACCCTGCAGAGGCCTACAAGCCACCAAATGATGCCGTAACATGCACCCGGAATTTCATAGGCCGGAACATGCCGCGTCTCTAAAACAGGTCAAACGTCAACTTCCAAAGAGCTTTGCCTCAGCCCTCTAAGCTCAAGCCTCGTTATTACTCCATCACTCAACCACTCAACCACTCAACCATCAAGCATTCTCGCAAGACGTCCGACATCACAATGCGTCTTTCTCGGTCTGCCGCAGCGCTAGCAGCGTGCTGCGCTTCTGCGCATGCTTTTTCGGACTCGTCCCCTATCGTTATGTTCTCAAGTGCTAGGTACGCAACACGACTCTATCATCCATCCCTTCGCCTCGCATAGACGACGTAGCTAATCGTGTGTACTCACCAGTCTGGATGTGCCGGCCAACGGGAAACTAATACAATCGAATTCTGAAGTTTTTGCAACTCTCCAAAACGCTCTCAAGAGCTGCCCGACCGATCGATATCTCATCGTCTCGCAACCGAACCTCAACAGGGCCAATTTGGTCGGGGATGCAGTACCGAATCTCCTCCGTTATAATAACAAGGCCCAGAGTCGCTACTCGCTCCCAGAGGTAATCGGGGAGTTGGATACAGACGATGTAGTAGCATTCGTTAGGAAATCATGCGAAGGAAGGTCGCAGCTATTTGTCGACCATCTCGAATTAACTCCTTTATCGTCTGTTAGCGACGCTCACACATTAGGGGAAAACGGTAAATATAATTATTGGACTCTCTTTGGGAATACAGAACTGATGGGATATAGATGACGAACTCGGGATGGTGCTTGAACAGTTCGATAGGGACGGTTCTTACACGGTCATCTACGTCGGTGCTCCGCGAAAGGAGGCCCCCCCGACCTACACGGCCGTGTTCCAGGATGGCGTACCCTCGGAATTGAAGAGAGACGTACACTCTGTTCAAAAGAGGGCTCTTAATGACACCAGAAACCTACCTCTATTTGAGAAGTACCAGTACTTTTCAACAGGTCAGTCCAGTTATCCATTGCAGATTCGTTCCCATACTAACCACAAAACAGGCATCTTCACGGCTCTCATCGCTTTAGTGATCCTCCTATCGATTCTCTACGGCGGTATTGCCGCAGTCGCCAGCCTCGAGGTCCCCTACGGCGCATTCGAGAAGGAGATGGGTCCGGCCGCGCATAAGAAGCAGTAGACGGAAGATACACGTAGGGAAGCAGTCTAGTCGGTAGATATATTTAAGGCTGCGTGTAATTTGAGCAGTGTGTACGAATTACTATTGGGTCATGGGAGTCCGGGTAACGGGTAGCATCACGGAAGAAGTCGAATCAGACTGACTTCAGCAAATAAGCAAGGTATACATCAATATTGTTTATCGAATCGGAAGGCGACTATAGTGTACATATAGGTATATGCAACTAGAATTGACCACGGCTTTTTTTTCCTTTTCCCTTTCTCCTTGCCCCTTTTGAAAGTTCTCTCCGCCGTGCCTTTAGAGTAACCACATTGGCCTTGTGTAGTTTTTGCGCCTCGGCAACTTAACTCCGGAACGCCTGCCCAAGTCTTATGTGCTTGCAGTCGTCTAGGTAGATCCCAAATAGTAGCACAGTGTTCACTTGCTTTACCTTTGCCTTGCCTTGCCTCGCCTCGCCTCTCCTCAAGTTCACCCATCCCAGCAAATGCTAATGATGTTAAACCAAGTGGCTCGGCAAAAGAAAGTTGGCGATGCCCTCACGAATGGCGTACTCGTGGCCACAGTTGGCGCACACGAGCTTGCCCTCCATGATCTGCGTTTCCATGAGTAGGTTGTGCAGGTCCTTCATCTTCTGCTCGTCGCCTTGCAGCTCTTCCACTGATGGCGGCTGAGGCGGTAGGGCTGGGAAGCCGAGCTAGAAAAAAAATTATTAGTCCTAGATTCAATATTCAGTAGTCCCGCATTTGCTTAATTCAGTGTAGTTAAATAGTATGTGAAGAAATATAATGACTAGAAAAACATAACATACTTCGGTAGCCGTCGTGGACAGGGCGGTCCAATCGATGCGGGGCAGTACATTGAGCAGCAGTTGAACGTTCACCTCGATATCGTCCTGCACCAGCTCTGCATCTTTGGGATGAAGGGGATACGAATTCGAGGAGCTTTTGCACGCCTTGACTGCGCAAGTTAGGAAATTAAGACTGAGGACCTTCATCTCGGCGTAAGAAGTTGAGGATACGAGACTCGACAAAAATTTCTCAAGTTCTCAAGGTCTAGAAATTGACCCGGCGCAAATAAAATTTAACGATTTTTTTTATTTAAAATTATACAAGTCACACGTGATGGAGACGACTATAAGAATAATAACAAGCACAACAACTACGCTTTATAAAATAAGACCTCATTTTTGATCAGATATGCCATATATATTTCATTTGAAAGAGTAAATAACCACAAGTCTAAGCCATCGTCTTCTCGTAAGCAATGTTGTCCCGGTCGCCTCTCTTCTTCGACAGGCGAATGTAGAAGGCGATAGCAGCGAGAATAACACCGAAAAGAAGAGCCTTCTGGAAAACGGACCATTCGGCAGAGAGAGCAGCAGTCTCGTCAACTACGGGTTTCTCCTGTTCGGTCGAGTGTCCCGAAGCCCATTCGGATTCTCCTTGATTATCTGGAACCAGGTGGTAGACGCATCAGTAAGAAAACGACGGAGACAGGCGGGACGAATACGGTGGTTTGGGACTTGTGCTTATAGCTCAACGTGGATACCTTCAGGCGGCACCTCGAGCTCTCCGCTCTTGGCAATCTTGATTTCTTTCTCTGGCTTGTCGCCGGGCTTAGTCTTGACATTTTCGATCTTCTTGACGACGTCCATGCCCTCCAACACTTCACCGAATACAACATGTCGGCCATCCAGCCACCTAGTATACTGTTAGTTTATTACGATACTCTTACATTATCTTCATGTTCATTGTCAAATTGGGAAGCCTTACGAGGTGATAACGGTGGTGATGAAGAATTGAGATCCATTGGTGTCCTTGCCAGCGTTCGCCATGGAGAGGAGACCCTCCTTGGAGTGCTTTAGCTTGAAGTTCTCGTCGGGGAACTTCTCACCGTAGACTGTAGAGGCGAATAATTAGCATGTTATGTTCTCTTCCCCTCATTGAACAATAGTATTAGCACTTACTCGACTTGCCACCAGTGCCATCACCCTTGGTGAAGTCACCTCCCTGGATCATGAACTGCTTGATAACTCGGTGGAAAGTAGATCCTTCGTAACCGAAGCCCTTCTCGCCGGTAGCAAGAGCTCGGAAGTTCTCGGTGGTCTTAGGGACGGTCTTGCCGTAGAGACCCATGACAATTCGGCCTAGAGGCTCATCGCCGTGTGTGATATCGAAGTAGACCTTGTGGGTAATCTTGGGCCCCTTGGTGGCGGCGGCCGTCTGGGAGAAGCAGATGACACTTACACCCACCAGCAGCAAGGCGCTGGCGAGAAGTCGGCGGAGGTTAAACATGTTTGTTATAGAGAACTGCCAAGACCAGTCAGGCAGATTGAAAGAAATCAATTGAAGTATGATGATGGTAAATGCCCGAGGGGAAACGGCACTATTTCAAAGACGGGAAATAGGATGAAGGATTGGAAAGGACACAGAAGCTCAATTAAAAGGCGACGTTTCAGTGCAGGAGCTGTCGCAACGTCTAGACCCCTGAACCACACAAAAAGAGCGACCTAACAGCCACAGGAGCCAGACAGATACCTAGCGACGGTTGAATGCGGGGTCCACCACACTAACCGGTTAGAAGCCTATCAGCTTATCGGGCAGCTTACCCAAGTGTATTGTATTGTACCGCTATGTACATAGGTACCTAGGTAGGTTAGGTACCTAAACATTTCTCAAATTCGCGATTAGCTAATGACCAGTGCCGACGATCTAAACCAATTGGCAGAAACATTGAAGTCTCGTCCTGTCCGTCGCAAACTCGGAGGGGAATATCACGACCATATTCATATTCAACAGAGGCCCTTGCCAATTTTGCCCAAGATGGTGAGCTCTCTAAAGCCCAACTTTTCACTTACTATGGAATATAACCACTAACTAAACTCAGGTGTTCATAATGGGAGTGAACTTCCACGAGAAGAAACTCGTCAGGGTAAGCCTCCCTCCAAACCCGCCACTCCGCAACACGAAGCCGCAATCCTAACGCAAGCAACCGCACAGAAAGCCCTCGAGAGCTTCTACGGCCTAGGGCCGCAGCTAGCCGCGCGCATCATGGCCAAGTACACAATCCACCCTCTCTCCCGAATCGGCACCGTCGCTCCCAAGACCGTCACTGCCCTAACAGCCGAGCTGTCGACCATGACGATAGAAAACGACGCCAGGAGGATAGTCCAGGACAACATCAAGCGCCTGCGAGACATGGGCACCATCCGCGGAAGGAGACATGCTATGGGTCTGCCGGTGCGCGGACAGCGCACGAGGAACCAGATCGAGACGGCCAAGAAGCTGAATACCCTCGAGAGAGGAGGCACGTACTCCAAGATTTAAAAGGAGCCAGCCGGAGGCATGCTATCCCTGGAGGGGTGTTTCGCATGGCGTTGCGGGAATAAGCGGCTGTTGGCCCCGTTGAAGTCATTAGGGAAAGGCGTTAATAAGAGGGTTGCGACGCATTTTCGGTCGTCTTCAAACAGGACCTATTCCGGTATATAAGTCTAGGGGCATTGCTCCCTTGTGCATTTAAACGTAAATATTTAAACATTGCATTTCAGGAGGACTAAGAATCTCCTTCACGAGAGGCGGCGGCACATAAAGTGGCGATTTTTTCGGGTTATAACCCCCTAGTCTCGTCGAACATGAGCTATCATGAAACTGGATAGTTACTTGAACTTATGTGCTCCGTTTATCAGACAAGCCGACTCTTTCTCATAAACATCAACTATAGATAGTAGGTTAAGTGGCCAACGAAGTAGTATAATTAGAAGTGATATGCTATCAAAACTTTATATCCAGGTCGTACTACTCCTTTACTAGAACAAGCCTGCCAAATCATCTTCTAATACTGGCTCTCCCGCAGCTTGCAACTTGGCGGCTATTTTCTCAGCATCTCCCCAGACACGTAGTATGTTGCCACCTGCGACCTTGCTAGCATCTTCGTCCGAAACCCCTTGCCGCAGCAATTCTGCCACAAGGTCCGGATATTTGGATACGTCAGCCAGCCCCTCAGGCGTCGCTTCGATGCCATCAAAGTCGCTTCCCAAACCAACATGGTCGTACCCTATCAGGTTGCCAATGTAGGTGATATGACTGACCACCTGAGAAAGAGTGTTGTTGTCAGGGAAGAACTCGGGGACGCCGTTCTCAGCGCCCTTGTCGATACAGCTGATGAAATCAGGTGAAAAGTTAACTATGAGAATTAGCATGAAGTCGAACTATAAGTCTGGTAAGGGGACATATATACCCATGACAATCGAGTTCTTCTCCTTCACAAGTTGGAGCACATCATCCGGGACGTTGCGAGGGTGCGGGCAGATTGCGTAGGCAGAGCTATGGCTAAACATGACGGGAGCCTTGCTACCTGCCCATTCTTTGCTGCCGCCGAGGACGTCTCTCATGGTATCCGCGCTGACATGGGATAGATCGACTAGCATGCCGATGCGGTTCATCTCGTTGATTAGCTGTCTGCCCTTGGGAGAGACGCCGTTCCATACCGGGGGGGCTTTGCGAAAGGAATTTTCCCAGAGAGCTGCGTCGGCAAATATGTTTCCGCAGTTATGCGTCAACGTAGCATAGCGAACTCCCAAAGCGTAGAACCGCCGTAAATTGGCTACCGAGTTACCAATCTGATGGAGACCCTCAATTCCTAGGGGTGAGACGAATTTGCCCTTCTTCCAGGCTGCTACTGCAGGCTTGGAGTCTACTGGGATCCCGGAGAAGTCTTTCGGGTAAGCATTCTGCAGCCGGGTCATAAGATCGATTTGTTGTAGGGTCAGTTGGACACCTGATTACTGCTATTAGCTGGTGAATTTGGCAGACTAGACTTAAACACCAACTAGGAGCATAGTTCTCATCTGAATAGTCTGTGCCGTTTGCTGGACATGGTGTAAAGACACTCCAGAAAGCACCTCCATTCTGTCCTTCTCTCAACCTGGGTAGGTCGACGTGCATGGGGAGCCCACCCTCTTCGAATGGCTTTGAAAAGGTCTCATTGTAAATGTGATTATTGTACATAGCACGGATGAAGATAGCTAAGTCATTGTGTCCATCTTAGAGGCTATGTATTAGTTGTTTGCGCTTATCAATCGAAATACGGCATCAAATCTACCTATCAAGGGGGTTTTCGAGAGGATCTTCTGAACCCTCTGTTCAATAGACTTGGGGCGGAAGTGAGATGAACAAGGAGAGCTTGGGTGGAGCAATGCGTATAAGACTAATCCGATAAAGAATATCGCGGCGATATTCGCATTGGGCTTCTTTACGCGTGAAGATTGAGAACGGGCGGGAGTCGCGCTCTCGAGGTTAGGAGTTTCTTTCTTTTCATTCATGGTGTGGAATGAACTCTTCATTGGTCCCGTTTACGTCCATGTGATGAAGAGAAAGATCGGAGGGTTGGGATGTTGAAAGTGAGATCCAAATACCTGTTAAGCTGGTTGATAGCGTAGGTACCTCTTATTAGCTTACCAAGCCACCTTACTTTTTATTCAATATTAGGTTTGGTTCTAATCGGAGCTATTCCGTATAATGTTTCCGTATAATGGTTCCATATAATGTTACAGTATAATACATAGTTATTTCTTACATAACATGTACATACATACTATAGAACGTCTACTCCGTAACGGAAACCGGCAATTTGCGACATGATCGAGGTCAGGCCGTAAACCTCGTCAACTCGCAACTCGGCACGGGGTTGAAGGTGTCAAATACTAAGTTAATTATAGATCATGAGAATGATCTCTTGTTCTATCAGCTGGTTAAAATGTCTAGCATAATTCTATCATGCACCTTGATGTATTGTATTCCTGACCGCTTAATGCACTAGGTATTCCAAGTATCTAAGTATACTTAATTACAGAGTACGAAGTTTTGTTAGCTATGTCGATCATCAAGAGGCCTCTTACAATACCAGAATACCTAATATGTCCTCGATCGCTTACGGGCCTCCGTAGGGCTCGACAAGGCCGATGCCCGAAAAGATTAGATGAAACGAGTTGTTACAGGGTCACTTTTACTTGCTTTAGGTACTTGCCTTTAGTGGGTGGCTTCCGCTAGCCTAATATGGCACTTGAACATTGATGTAACTTGTCTGGTAGCCTACTTCCTTCAGCCCATACGTAATTGGCTTTGAGGTTGAATGTAGGTACCTCTTACCTACAGGTACAATACATATGTATTGTACCTAACGCAGGTAGTACCAGCATAGGCGCTCGCAGCACGCTCGCAGCAGGCACGCAGCAAGCAAGACCGCAAACAAAAAGGAAACCCCCCGTCGCACCAAAACTCCCCCTGGGGGGTCTGCAGGTCCAACCTTGGACCAATGAATTTTCGACCTTCATACGTTTTTCGTGTCCGAGCTTCATCTAAAGTGCTTTATTGGCGAGGAATTCCGTTAAAAAGAGGCTGAGACAGAAATAGATGGAGCCATTCTACATTCTGTCTTAATCGCCCATTCTTTCTGTATATTTCGCATCTGATCTTGTTGCTTTGCAGCACATCAACAGCAGCACAACAACATCCTCCTTCATTCTCCTCATTTCCTTCTGTAATAGTGACACGACTTCCCGTTCTGTGATACCCGCCGCCGACTTCCCGACATCTAATCTTCTTCGCCCCTCGGCCGTCTTTAATTCTTTATTGGCTCCCTTGTTACTACTGAGCTCAGGATCGCATAGCCAGCCAACTTTACATTCGCGCCTTATTACGTCTCTCTCCTTCGAAACTAGACCCTGCTTTCACCCGATTTGAATCAGTTTTAGAACCTCCGACCCGGCTACTATAAATCGGTGGTTTTTTTTTTTTTTTGGAGGACTGCATCATCACCATGCCGGGGTTCGCAGACTCTTTTTGGTCCTCAGACTATGCCGCAGGTGAGCGCGAAACAATCTGCCCAACCTGCCCCTTATACAAAGACTAACTATTTTCAAGGCCTGGGCGTCCTGTTCACCAAGCTCCAGCAGGGAGTCCAGGAGAACAAGCAAGTCTTGACGATCGCTCGAATGCGAGCCGAAGCCGAAGAGGTTTACGGCCAGCGACTTGGGGAGATTGCGCCCGCAGCCGACAAGATTACTGGTGGCTTCTCGCGTGACGACGGCGCGAGTGTGCGAAAAGTACGAACCGCATATTTTCTCTAGATATAGTACGGGTGCCTCTAGCTAACCTTTGCTCTTCTATGTCCAGGCCTACGATGGCGTCCGGTCCGAGATGGAGGATGCTTCAAAAAGCCACAAGAAGATCGCACAGGGTATTCGAGACCTGGTCGTGAATCCCTTTGCGCGGTGGTGCGACGCTCACGAATCCCGCATCCAAGATTCCCAAGACGACTTGCAAACTCGTATAAAAGCTCACGATCGCCAAGCCGAGGTAGTCAAAAAGCTACGGAGCACCTATTTTAATAAGTGCCGCCTAGTCGAAGACCTCGAGGAGGAAAACAAGCTAGCCTTTCAAGACCCAGAAACGAGCCCCAAGCAGAATCAGAACATCCCCGAGATCAAGGTATCGCCCAATGAAAAGGAAGAGGAGGAAGATGACGAGATATACGAGATCGGCGATGAGACATACCAGACGGAACAGGTCAAGAAGATACTATCTCACATGTTGAACACTATAAAGATGGGCGAGACTAAAGTACCCATCCTGGGAACATACCTCAACACCTCGTCTGGTTCCGATATAGTTGAGTACATGCAACGGCATATGGGATCGACCAGTATCAGCTACGCCGAACGGATTGGACAGGATTTAGTGTCGAACGGCTTCCTTCGTCTGGTTGGTAATGTTGGCAATAACTTTGCGAACAGCTCAAAATTCTTCTACCAGTGGCGGCCGAAGGCATTTCAGCTAGCAGGTGTTCCGGAGAAGAAGGCGACGTTTGGAAGGACGTTTTCCTTGCCTTCAAATCCCGAGAGCGGGTCCGACTCCCCTGTCGTGGGCGCCGTTAGCGAATACTTGTCGGGCTGGAATGTTCTCGGTAGCCAACACCCTAACGAGACCCCCCCGGAACGTCTACGTCGCGAGGCTAGGGAGGCCGATGAGAAGTACAAGGCTAGTGTTCAGAAGCTAGATGAAATGCGTTGTGAGCTAGAGGAAGCTATTTTCGTGCACTTAAGGTTCCTCGAGCGCTGCGAGCTGGACAGGCTAAAAGCCATCAAGACGGTCATTCTCGATTTCTCGGGCACCATTGGAAATGTCATCCCAAGCTTACAGTCTGCGGTGGACCGCATGGTTCTATACCAGGAGACAGTTCAGCCCATAGGAGACTTGCGATATCTCCTAGAGAACTACAGGACAGGTCGCTTTGCACCCCGGGTTGTCACGTATGAAAACTACTATAACAAGGTTGACGAGCAGACATTCGGCGTAGATCTAGAGGCTAGGGCTAGGGCGGACAAAAAGCGCGTCCCTATTATCATCACAACGCTGCTGACGTATCTGGACAATCACTACCCGGATCTTGAAGGAGACGAAGCAAGACGAGGGGTCTGGCTTGCGGAAGTTCAGCTCCCGCAAGTTCATAAATTGCGTACCAAAGTGAACAATGGCAAACCCCTTACCGCCGATGATCTCGCAGAATTCGACGTTCCCACCGTTGCCTATCTGCTAAAACTATACCTCTTGGAACTCCCAGGTGTGTATTTAATTTATAAGACGATGTAACAGAGACTAATAAGGGACATAGATTCACTAGTATCCTCTCATGTATATGAGATCATTAG